TAAATGTTCAACTCTTTAATATTAAAATGAGATACAGCATTCCAAAACAGTTGATACAGTACATGAAAAGTGTCATTACTAAATGAAAAGAAGGCCCTATTGCTAATAGTCCAAATGAAAGAAAATGCAATAAATTGTCTGCTACATATTTAATGCTATGTCTGAGTGGCCAGATTCTCAGACCATTTGGTCAGAACAAGCTGTAATGAAAAAAAGAGATGTGCACATTCTCAGTGGACTAAAGAGGCCAGTCAGCCAATAAGAATATACAAATCCAGCTGCCCGTGACTAAGCCATATACATTAATCATTAGATATAAGTTCTGGCCCCACCCCCAAATATATAAAACACACAATACACAATGTATACTGCAGTTGTATGCCATATAATTGAGTAAGCTGACAGGGATGTCTGGAATGTACTCGAAAACAACAGTTTAGCATTAACTCAGCCTGCTATGCTGAACTGTTATGAGAAAAGTGGAATGTCAATACATTATTAATAATGCTCACTAATGAGTATTCCCAGTAAACAGAAAAACCATACTGGCCTTCAGGAAACAAGAGTATTCAAACTGAATTTATCCATAAAGATCTTCCTAAAGACAATAATCAGAGATGTGGGAAAGCTAGGGATGGGGTAGGAACATTTGTAGAACATAAAAGATGGAGTTATGAAAGAAACAAGCAAGCAAACAAACAAGCTAGTATGGGCCAGCTGGACATGCCTTTTCATAAATGTGATCTCCAAGAAAACTGGCACTTGGCAGCATTCTCAATCATTTGGTCACTTTAGACTAACTGTTGGCAAGACCAACACAAATAGCTGCTATCTTTGTGTGCCTACAAGTAGTTTCCAATCTAAAGCAATCCTATCACGGGGTTTTCTTGGCAATATTTGTTCAGAAAATGTTTACCATTGCCTTCCTCTGACAGCGCGTGACTTGCCCAGGGTCACCCACTGAATGAAGTTACAGTACAACGTGGAAGACAGATCATACCTTCAAGAAAAACATCTTCCATAACTTTGCTAGTCATAACCCATTATTAAAATACTGGAAAATTATCAAGATTTCTTTTAAATAATAGAACAAGACAGCAAAGAAGGGAAAATAACCTTAGGCAATACATTGCATTTTTGAATGCCAGAGTTCATTTTAAGGGGATTAACAACACTGGAGACACGAGCAGACCTGCCTGTTGGGCTTTCTAAAGTATTTAGTACATGCTTTGAGGAGAAACATCTGCTGAACATGTTTAGAGGGCTCCCAAATTTCACAACTTCTTCATTAGATAAATTTCCGAGTTATCGGTTTATTTGAAGCCCCACCTTGAAGTACATGTACAAGGATGCAATCCCACATGTGTGTACTTAACAGTAAGTCCAGGGCAGGAAAAAACAAAGTTTTCTCTCCATAGAACAATTTTTTTAGCTCCACAGACAATCACCCAATCTTTCCCCCTTTCCCTAGCAACACAATAGTATACAAAATCTCTAAATTATGACATCTTTCTATTGCATTCCTGATCAGTATTAATAAAACTTTCAGAAACAATGACCACATTACTCATTGCAACTCATCTGAATCTAATCTGAATTTTATCACAGTCATGCTTCTTGGAGTCATTTTCACAATTTTAAAAGACAATCTGAAATGCTATAGAATGTTATAAAGGATCAAGGAAGGTCACATTTGTCATCTTCCAATGTAAACAAATTTTGAAAGTTTGATGGGACAAAGATGCCATATCCTCTTATGTTGTATGTCCTGTGATGTGACCATGCAAGGGAGACGCAGGCTGTAACCTGATTTATAACAGCCCACTCTTTTCCTGCATCTTCTGCACACAAAGTTTACTGTGACAATGATTCATTGTGGTATATTACATCTATCGTTGCTCTGCTCCTTAACCTTCCAGGTGTTCACACAATCCACTGGCAATAAGAGTTGGTTATGAATACTGTATTTGTATGGAATCTTGAGCAACAAGTTGAGCTTATTGCTGATTTATAATTTAATCTATAAGGATATTATTTGCTTCTAAAACTGAGGGAGGGATATTCATGTAGAAAATAGCAGCCTTATGCATTTGCATCATTTTCTTACCTGCTGCTGATTTAAGGATCTGACTTTGGCTCAGCTCCCATGAATGAGCTGCTGAGCAAGCTCAGAGAGGTTCAGCCACCAACCAAAACTCCCTGCTTCCCTAGTGTTGGTTGCAGAAACATATCTACAATAAAGTTTGAGCAAGGACAGGACAGTTCCTAATAGAGCTCCACGTTCACTTGGGTTAAGGGCACAGAGCTCTTATTTAAGTGAAAAAATATAATTGGAAAAATTACTTTTTTACCTGGGAATGTTTAGGTTGTCCAGAACAACTCTAAGGTCAAAATTTCTACCAGAAGCGGGAGCCAGAATTGTACTGGAGGACCTGGAATTTCCTATAGATATGTTCTCTCTGGAAATCTCTAGGTCCTCCAGCATGACTGGAGGAAGTTGACCATAGAGTGACACTGGGGGGCACATAGATTCCCAGAGATAACATTTTTAACCAAATCAGGAAATAATCAAAACTGTAAATGTGAAAGGACAACTACATTCTATTTCAATCAATTCAAAATTAGCCATGTCTGCCTCTCGACAATAGGTAAAGTAAACAGAAGCTTTGGAATCTCTTGCTGAGCAAGTATGAACAGCAACACAGAAAGAATAGGGGAAAGGAGATATCGGTAAGTCTCAACAGCTACCCCAGCATGTTACAGAAAGGGATCGTTCTGGTTCTGACACTAAATGGAAATTATTAGAAAAGTGGTGACTAGTGAAAGGAAAAGAAAATTGTCTCTGGATTTTGGAAGAAGTCTTAAAGTGGACTCTAGAAAGTTTCAAATGTTTTTGTTGATTTATGCAATGCTTACATCATTAGGCTGTTTAGGTCTGAATATAGACTGTTGAAATATATTCAGGCTGGTGGTGTAGAAACTTATCCCCATTCTTTCATTGCTATTTTTACCTCTGGTACTAAAATTTCTTTTAAGGAAGTAATGATGAGGAACAGCTTTGCTTAATTCTAACTGAGGTATACCTGTATATCCTGAAGGCACCAGAACCTGTCTGATCTGAGAAGCGAAGCAGGATAAGGTCTGGTTAGTACTCAGAAGAAGGAACTGTCAAGGAAAGCCTGGGGCTGTTGACTATATTCACAGGAAGGTTAGGACACACTTCTGAACAAAACAAAATCAACTTCGGTAGGGTGAACATAAAGGGGGTTGGAATGGATGTCCCCTGTGGTCTCCTCTAATTCTATTATTCTAACAGAAGGGAGAAGAAAATTATATGACTAAAAAGAAAGAGGTTGTGATCTGGGCACCAACTGGAAGTTGCTTTGCTGCCTGACTATAGCAGGGGTCATGTCTCTGGGCACAGAGAGCAGCTCCCTCAAACTGGGAAGGATAAAATAATCTGAAGCCTCAGTCAGCTTCAACAGTGGCCAGGCTCTGAGTAGGATCCACTAGATTCACTACAACTAATTTTAAACAGCCTGATTGATCTAGGATGGCAATGTAAAGCATAACTAAACCTTTAACATCAGCTGGAATAGCCATTTGCTTAATATTTTAAGTGGAGATCGTTTTGTTAAAGCTTCAGAGTTTGTATGAGCTATACATAGAGACTGAACTATAGTTGGAGAATTAGATGTTTTCAGTATTTTAAACCGTGGTGGAGTATTTCTGACAGAATTTTTTTGTGTCAGGAGTGACTTTGGAAACTGCAAGTTGCTTCTGGTGTGAGAGAATTGGCCATATGCAAGGACGTTGCCCAGGGGATGCCCGAACGTTTTACCATCCTGTGGGATGCTTCTCTCATGTCCCCGCATGAGGAGCTGGAGCTGACAGATGGGAGCTCACCCCATTCTTTGGATTCAAACTGCCAGCGCAAGGGTTTAACCCATTGCACCACAAGTGGAGCTCACGATCTTAATTATTCAAATAAATTACTAATCTCTTTGGAGTTAGTAACTATTCAACTAAATTACTAATCTCTTTGGAGATTGAAATTTAATCCATTGCGCCACCAGGGACTCCCTATCTTAATTATTCAAATAAATTACTAACCTATTTGGAGTTAGTAACTATTCAAATAAATTATCTCTTTGAAGATAGAGATTTAACCTATTGCGCCGCCGGGGGCTCCTGGTTTTGGTTCTGTAAATATATTGCACATATGTTTAATCCGTCACAGAAGGCAGACACTATAGTATTATTAATTCCTCATTTTCTGGTTTATATTCTACAGCTTTGAAGTATTTTCATTTTAGACTGAAATGCTCATACTTCTTATTATTGCTTCTGAAAAGCAAAAGTCTTCTGTCATTCTGGAAATGACCTACCCCTTGCCATCTGTTGTTGTTGTTCAAGCATTTTTATACCTATAAAGAAGAGTTTTAGCAAGCAGTTTTCCTAGCACCTATTTTCACTGCTTTCACGGAAATGGAATAGTATAAAGGCACTTCAGTATAAAAAAAAGACAACCTGGTCTTTTGACACAATCCAACCACCTGGATTCTAAGAGCTACTCTTTTGTGGAAATGGAATTGGTACAGAAATGCAAATTCACATAAAGTCTTGTGTTTAATACAAGTTTCCATTGCACTTATAAGGCACAATGAACTTTGTAGCAATTAAAAGAAATATAACATTTAAACAGATGGCTAAGTGCCAGCTCAGCCTCCACTAGCCAACTAAAATTGTGATGAATCAACTTTCCATGTCACCAGTTGTTCAAATTTACTATGACCTTCCCTTGCTGTGGTGTGAATTTGCACCAGCACTACACACAAGCACTGTCTTTGGGCTGAAGGAAATTTGAATCTGGTGTAACTTGGCTCCCCCTCACCTTATCCCTTTATGGTCCCTATTTTCGCTTTTCTTCCAGCAGATCTCAGCAATGAGAGCATTTCTGCTGGGAAAGAGGTACAGTAGCAGATCTGTACAGGACAGCCCCTTCATCTTTGAAACAGGACTGTACTGCCCATGCTGAGAGTAAAATGAGTTTTCATAGTGTTCCTTCAATTTCATAATGTCTTTTGACACATGGGAACTAGCTCAGACTGTAAGCAAGCATTGTGGGATCTAAATGATAATAATACAATAATAAATCATGGTAATGAGATCACTAGATGAAATGAGGCAAAAAGCTATCTGGAATTTAAGGAACAGTATCTCAAATTTGTGTAGACCTTCATTCATTGCACCTAAAATCCAAGCTGTAGGAACATTAAGTGTATTTTTGCAGTAATACACATTGTAAGGGCCCTTCCACACAGCCACATAACCCAGAATATAAAGGCATAATATCTGCTTTGAACTGGGCTACCTGAGTCCACACTGCCATATATTCCAATTCAAAGCTGAAAATGTGGGATTTTATTCAGCTGTGTGAAAGGAGCCTTAGACTACTTTAACTCACTTTCCATTGACAAAAATGTCAAATAAATGCTGAAATAATCAGATATCTTCCAACTACAATAAATCTTACAATGTTACATTATTGTAGTAGGTGTGAGTTGGCTGCTAAGTGAGCCACTTCCTTCACCTGAAGCTGCCAAAATCTTTTTTTTTCAACATTTTTTTACTCTTTGACATGACGCCTGAATTTTTTATATTTCTTGTTAGGAGGCGGTTGCATGAGAAAAACGAATTAGGAAAGCAGTTAAGTGAAACTGCTAAGAAAGAATGATATGTGAAAGAAAGTATTCAAATCTGAAGATGAAAGCCTGTCAAATCTGTAAACAAATAAATTCCCATAAAACATGCTATAAATACAAGTTCAAAAATAAGTCACCAGCATCAATTGCAATATATACAGCTTACAGAATCCATCTGACAAAATATCTATTAAACAATCACAGTGTAATAAACATACCTACCAAATATGATGTACTGGCAGTGTTACAGGCAGACCATGATTTTATCATTTACTGTATTGCAGCTATTCACAAACCTTAAGAAATGACTGACTAGTTGACTCCAGAGCTGTACTAGAATGTCATCTCAAAAGTAACACAGTTTGACTATACAACGATTTGTGCAATTTTACGAGTTGGCTCATGCTCCATCCCAACAACACGTTTATAAAGCAAGATGAGTTAGTTTGAGCCAAAGCAGCCCGTATATCCTCTCAAGATGATTTTGCTAGTTCCAACAAATTCATATTGCTGATTAGATGAAGCTTAACGATTTTTAATGGTTTGTTGTGGAGCTAGTATACTTGTTCACTAAGGACTATCAACTCCACAACATAAAGAGACCAGGGGCAGTGACTGGAGACAGCCAGAAATACTCCACCAGGCTGTACTGCATGTAGCCCATTAGTAGCCCAAAGAGAACATCTGTTACATTGTGTCTTCCCAGCATGACCCGGGAGATTCCCACTATGAAAACCCAAAGCACAATCAGCACTCGCAAAGGGAGGGCTAGCACAAGATGGTGAAGAATAAATCTGCAAACTAAAGCAGCTCTGGTAGCGTGGCCTGATGGAAAGGAGTATTTATCCACGGAGACAGTGGCGAACATGTCCATCTTGTTGTGAGCCGGGCGCCTTCGTTTTACCAGTCCTTTTGCTGCTGCCACCAAAACTAGATCGAGCACCAGTGCTGTGAAACATGATAGATAAAGATCTCTTAGACATTTTAAAGAGCAACACTAAAAATAAAAAAAACTTGGAGAATAGCAAATATATCATGAATATCTATGAACTAACACTCAAATCAGATGCAAGTAGGCTTAAATCATAATATTTTAGTTAATTTTTTAGGAGTCACAGAACTCACTGGTAATTTCATATCAGTGTTACATACAGAAATCAGTTTACCTTAGATTTGGGGAGCTATTATTATGATCACTAAGTAAATATATCATAATAACTCTCTTCAAACCTAAGATACTATCAGTTTTCGGGATGGGGAAGCCAACTAAAATTACCGTATATACTCGAGTATAAGCTGACCCGGATATATAAGCCGAGGCACCTAATTTTACCACAAAAAACTGGAGAAATGGATTGACTTGAATATAAGCCAAGGGTGGGAAATGCCGCAGCTACTGGTAAATTTCAAAATAAAAATAGATACCAATAAAATTATATTAATTTAGGCATCAGTAGGTTAAATGTTTTTGAATATTTTCATAAAGCTGTAATTCAAGATAAGACTGTCCAACTCTGATCAACCCATTATTCTAACCTTCTTCAGTGTAAATATGCTTACATGCCCTCCAATAATAATAAATAGAGTAAAATAATAATAATAATAGAGTAAAATAATGGAATGTAATAACAGTAATAATAGAGTAAAATAATAAATGTAATAACAACAATACAGTAAAATAATAAATGTAATAATAACAACAATAATAAAAGAATAAATGTAATAATAATAACAACAACAAAGTAAAATAATAAATAACATTGACTTGAGTATAAGACAGGGGAGACTTTTTCAACCTAAAAAAAGGACTTAGGTTTATACTCGAGCATATACAGTAAGTTTGTTCCCCTTGACATCAAATAAGAAAATATACCAAGCACCTGAAAAGCAATTACAACTATTCAAACACAAAAGCTGGGGGTTCTAGGAAGATACTTTGGCCCCTTCTACACTATCATATAAAATCCAGATTATCTGCTTTGAACTGGATTATATGGCTGTGTAGAGTCATATAATCCAGTTCAAAGCAGATAATGTGGATTATCCGATTTAATAATATGTCAGTGTATGGGCCCTTCCAGACATACACTATATTCCAGGATCTGATCCCAGGTTTTCTGTTTATCCCAGATTATCTGGCTATGAAGACTCATATAATCCAGTCTAAAGCAGAAAATCTGGGATCAGATTCTAGGACAGGGGTCCTCAAACTTTTTAAACAGAAGGCCAGGTCACAGTCCCTCAAACTGTTGGCGGGCCGGATTATACTTTGAAAAAAGGAAGAATGAATTCCTATGCACACTGCACATATCTTATTTGCAATGCAAAAACACTGAAAAGCAATACAATAATTAAAATGAAGAACAATTTTAACAAATATAAACTGATTGTTTCAATGGGAAGTGTGGGCCTGCTTTTGGCTGATGATATAGGATTGTTGTTGTTTGCTGTCAAGTCGTTTCAGACTTAGGTTGACCCTGAGCGAGGGCCGGGTAAATGACCTTGGAGGGCCGTATTCGGCCCTCGGGCCTTAGTTTGAGGACCCCTGTTCTAGGATATAGGGTCTGGCTGGAAGGGCCCTACAAGGGGCCTTAGTTAAAAAGCCCAAATAGGACACCTTCAACAACAGGCTTGTCATTTTCTTCTTAACATCTAAACTTTTAGCAATATGATCAACCCATTAAGACCAGCATTAGACTCTTTACTGCAGCAAAGACTACATCAAACTTTTATCTCATGGAGCTTCCACATATTAATGAAAATATACATAAAACACACACTAGTCTTTCAGTGTCTTTCTAGAAATAAAAAGCCACTGCTTAGTATTCAACATGAAAGTAAATATAAGTCATTGCTATCCTTATCAAACATATCTATTATAGTCCAAACAGCTCAGTGGGGATAATCACACACTTCCTAAACAGGCAAGGATATCTTCTAAGGCCCTGCAGAAATCTTTGATATGGGAAATACTTCCCCACAATGGCACCTTGGAGGAGGATGAAGGATAAAATATAAATCTACAATTCCTCCCTGATATGCTGTAACATAAACATAGAATCAAATAATAGAAGGAGTGTGTCATACAAGGAATAAGGAACCACATAGGACAAGGGAAAAGGAACTCTTACCAAAGAGCAAGTTGAGCAGCACCTCGCGTCCTGCTGAGCTACCACTTCGACAAAGCCCATAGAGTGTGCCAGCTAGCCAAGGAATGCCATGTCCGGAGATCTCTACGACTATCATAAGAGGACGGACACTGCCCCAAGCAGAACTCTCTCCGGCACACACCCCAAGCTTTTTAGAGGCCCAAAGATCAATGGCCAACAAAGAGCGCAGGGCAATATCCACAAAAGATGGGTTCAGTTTCATGCAGTCTTCTTCAGGCAGGGCCTGTGGAGGCCCCGTGCTGGATGTACATTCCCTACGGCGAGATGGACTTTCTGGAGGGCCTGGGTTCCTCATACTTGTCAGCGATAGGAATTCCAGCTTGTTGCCATAAGCTCGTCTCTCATGGCTACTCTTTGGGCTACTTCGAGGGCTGGGCATAATGGCACTGATAACAGCTGCACTGATAGAAGAGAAACGTAAGTTTCAATATGACCAAGTTTGTTCAATTCACATAACAAATGCAGTAAAACTTCAATTGATGATTTTAAAATCTATTGCTATTGTATTATCTATTGTAATGAAGCTTTCTCACCAATCCTTGTTTCCACAATAAGCCTTTTTTTCAAAACCCAAGTATTGCATGAACAGAATGAGGATTGTATACAACTGTGTGGAAGGGGCCTGGAAGGAACCTCTGTAACACAATATTTGTTCCTGGGGGCCCTTCCACACAGCCCTATATCCCAGAATATCAAGGCAGAAAATCCCACAATATCTGCTTTGAACTGGGTTATCTGAGTCCACACTCAGATAATGTGGGATTTTCTGCCTTGATGTTCTGAGATATAGGGCTGTGTGAAAGGACCCTGGGTTATCATGGAAGTGAGCATCTAGTAGGGAGCAAGCTGGAGATGAGTACCAGGGCCCCTCCAGACAGGCCCTATATCCCTGGATCTGATCTTAGGTTTTCTGTTTATCCCAGATTATCTGGGAGTGGGAACTCATATAATTTGGTTTTGAACTACGAGACGTAAATGATCTATGTTTTATTAATTTTGCTATTATTTTATATTATATGTTAATATTTTAAAATGTTTTATGGTGTTGTGGGCATTGAATTGTTGCCTCTGTAAACCATCCTGAGTCGCCTGCGGGTTGAGAAGGGTGGTATACAAATATAGTAAATAAATCTATATAAATAAAAATGTAATGTTCGTTTGTGGGATTAACAGAACTCAAAAACCAGTGGGCGAATTGACACCAAATTTGGACAGCATACACCTAACAACCCAATGTATGTCCTTCACTCAAAAATTTTGATTTTGTCATTTGGGAGTTGTAGTTTCTGCGATTTTATAGTTCACCTACAATCAAAGAGCTTTCTGAACTCCACCAATTATGGAATTGAACCAAACATGGCATACAGAACTCCCATAACCAACAGAAAACACTAGAAGGGATTGGTGGGCATTGACTTTGATTTTGGGAGTTGTAGTTCAGCTACATCCAGAAAGCACTGTGGACCCAAACAATGATGGATCTGGACCAAACTTGGCACAAATATTCCATATGCCCAAATATGAACATAGATGGAGTTTCGGGAAAACAGGCCTTGGCATTTGGGATTTGTAGTTACTGGGATTTATAGTTGTCCCAGAAGCACTTTATCAGAGATTTAGGATTGTCTGCACACTGCACTTACCCTAAAATCCTACATTGCACCTGTCATACTCAGCACTTTTTACACTACATTCGGCCCAGCCCTAGTTTTATTGTGTTATGGTGTATTGTTTTTATTGTTTACTGTTATTGCTTAACGTTTTGATTTGCTTTATAATGTTATGTGTATTGTTATGCTGTTGTTTTTATTGGGGGCTTGGCCTTTGTAAGCCGCATCGAGTCCTTCGGGAGATGTTAGCGGGGTACAAATAAAGTTAATAATAATAAATAATAAAATAATAGTTCACCTACAATCAAAGAGCATTCTGAACCCCACAAATGACAGAATTGGGTCAAATTTCCCACACAGAACCCCCATGGCCAACAGAAAATACTTAAGGCCATCCAGTCCAACTCTTCACCAGGGGAAGAAAATGTACTCAAAGCCCTCCTGACAAAGAGACATCCGATCATAGATAGAGATAGATAGATATGATTCACACACAGAGAGAGATATAATATTATAGATTTGAAAGGGACCCCTAAAGTAGGTCAATTATATGTTGCATATTCCAGAGTAGGCAAACCAGACAATCTCCACATCAACACTGACAAAGAAACAACAAGAAATACTGTTTACCCACAAAAAATAAAGAAATTACATATATTAGAAACCCACACTTTCTCATTACTTTATTTTCCAGATCACCAGACTGGAAAATGGCAGGGGACGGCTAGTAAATAAATAAAGCAGAAAGCCTGGAATCAGATCCTGGGATATGGGGCCTGCCTGGAAGGGCCCTGGGTCCACACTGCCATGTATTCCAGTGCAAAGCAGATAATGTGGATTTTGTACAGCTATGTGGAAGGGGCCTTGTAACATCCCATCTTTCCTCCTGGTTGAGAGACAAAGCGGGGTACAAATAAACATCACGATCATCATCATTTCCTGACATGATCTCCAAAGAGAGCAATGACTTTCCTCCTCCTTCTCCTCCTGAGATGCTGACAGAGGCTGAGAAAGAGAGAGCAAGGCCTCAAGCCAGGCAGGGGATTCTCTAGCCCGGTTTAGAAAGGACTCAAGGCCTGGCAGGACGTCAGGAAGAGGAGAGGCCCGGCCCAGCCCCCGCCCACTCCCAGTTTCTCTTCGAGAGTGACCCCTTCCTGCCCCACTCGTCCTCCGCGACACCCCCACTTCCGCCCCCCAAAACCAACACAGGCACCTCTCTCCGCTGTCCGGCCTGGCTGTTGCCTAGCAACCGAGCAAGCCTCTCCACCGCTCTCAGCCCTGGCGACGCGGGCTCACTTCCGCTTCCGCTGTGCCCAAGGAGGAAGGGAGGCAGGATGCGGCGCGTGAGGCTCATGTCAGCAAAGGCGCAGCAAGACAACAGAGCTTGATCAATTAGGGCAGTGCTTTGGAGTTCAGTTCATAGAATCAAAGAGTTGGAAGAGACCTCCTGGGCCATCCAGTCCAACCCCCTGCCAAGAAGCAGGAATATTGCATTCAATCACCCCTGACAGATGGCCAGCCAGCCTCTGTTTAAAAGCTTCCAAAGAAGGAGCCTCCACCACACTCGGGGCAGAGAGTTCCACTGCTGAACGGCTCTCACAGTCAGGAAATTCTTCCTCATGTTCAGATGGCATCTCCTTTCTTGTAGTTTGAAGCCATTGTTCCTTATTCTAATCTCCATGGAAGCAGTAAACAAGCTTGCTCCCTCCTCCCTGTGGCTTCCTCTCACATATTTATACATGGCTATCATATCTCCTCTCATCCTTCTCTTCGTCAGGCTTAACATGCCCAGCTCCTTAAGCCGCTCCTCATAGGGCTTGTTCTCCAGACCCTTGATCAGTTCCCAGTGATCTAGGCCAGTGACCAAGGATTGTGGGAACCCAAGGTCAAAATACCTGGAAGAACAAAATTTGGGAAACACTGAAACAGAGAAATCTTTAGCATTCAATCCATTGTGACCCAAACCTACACCAGACATTAGTTCAGTTTACAGGATGCAGGCAGTCCCCAAGTTAAGAACAAGATAGGTTCTGTAGGTTTGTTGTTAAACTGAATTTGTAAGTCGGAACAGGTACATTTCTAAAGTAACTCCAGCCTTCTTCTTTCGAAGCTATTTTCCCATGGAGGGGTTAGCATTGCACTCATTGAGTTTGTACCTCAGCTATGGTCTTTCTCAGCCATATTGTTTTGATGTTGTTTAGAATCATAGAGTTGGAAGAGACCTCATGGGCCATCCAGTCCAACCCCCTGCCAAGAAGCAGGAATATTGCATTCAAAGCACCCCGACAGATGGCCATCCAGCCTCTGTTTAAAAGCTTCCAAAGAAGGAGCCTCCACCGCACTCCGGGGCAGAGAGTTCCACTGCTGAATGACTCTCAGAGTCAGGAAGTTCATCCTCATGTTCTGATGGAATCTCCTCTCTTGTAGTTTGAAGCCATTGTTCCGCGTCCTAGTCTCCAGTGAAGCAGAAAACAAGCTAGCTCCCTCCTCCCTGTGACTTCCTCTCACATATTTATACATGGCTATCATATCTCCTCTCAGCCTTCTCTTTTTCAGGTTAAACATGCCCAGCTCCTTAAGCCGCTCCTCATAGGGCTTGTTCTCCAGACCTTGATCATTTTAGTCGCCCTCCTCTGGACACATTCCAGCTTGTCAATATCTCTCTTCAATTGTGGTGCCCAGAATTGGACACAATATTCCAGGTGTGGTCTAAACAAGGCGGAATAGAGGGGTAGCATTACTTCTCTAGATCTAGACCAGGGGTCCTCAAACTTTTTAAACAGAGGGCCAGGTCACAGTCCCTCAAACTGTTGGAGGGCTGGATTATGATTTTTTTTAAAAAAAGAATGAATTCCTATGCACACTGCACATATCTTATTTGTAGTGCAAAAAACCACTTAAAAACAATACAATAATTAAAATGAACAATTTAAACAAATATAAACTTATTCGTATTTCAATGGGAAGTGTGGGCCTGACTTTGGCTGATGAGATAGGATTGTTGTTGTTGTGCGCTTTCGAGTCGTTTCAGACTTAGGTTGACCCTGAGCGAGGGCCAGGTAAATGACCTTGGAGGGCCGTATCCGGCCCCCGGGCCTTAGTTTGAGGACCCCTGATCTAGACACTATGCTCCTATAGATGCTGGCCAAAATCCCATTGGCTTTTTTTGCCGCCACATCACATTGTGGCAGCAAAAGCCCAACTGCTCATTGGAGGGAAGGATATTAGAGGCAAAGATGAAGTACTTTGGCCACATCATTGTGTAAGTGAGAGCCTGTCTGTGGAAGTGGGAGTCCCAACCACATACATACATATTTTTGTTTTTATTATGGATGGATGGATGTGATTGCTTTTATATTTTACCTGATGTTTTTAATTGGTTGTGTTCTATTTGTAATTTTGGGGCTTGGGTGACAAAGCTTCAGTGGAGACATCTTGTCCTCATGATAGTAACTCTTCCAGGAGTGAATTTCCCCTTATTATGTCCCCCTGGTCTGAATTCCTCTGTCTCAAACTGCACGTCCACGTCTCCTACTTTTCTTCTTATAATGAACCATTATTTTAAGAATGGGAAGAGAAACTAGATGTTTCTTGCATTTTTGAGCTGAAAAAAATCATTGCTTCTCTCAAGATTGCTTGTTCAAACCAGATGTTATCATTCCTGAGCAAAGCATGTTGATATCTTTGAAGTCATTGTTTGAGAAACTCATTGGGAGACCTTGGGCAAGTTGCATTCCAGAAGTGAAGGTAACTAAACTGAGACTCTCATGCCACAAGAAGACATGATTCATTAGTAAAAACAATCATGCTTGTAAGATACAAGATAGTAGAAAAAGAGGAAGACCATGGGCACATCTACACTGACCTTTTGTATCTCAAAAGGAGCAGATCAGCTTCATGGTAGCTGCAGGATGCACGGAACTGATGCAAGTTAATGCAGCCTTGAGTTGAATTTTAAAAGTTGAATTTTCTCCTAGAATGCAGAGCAAACAGCAACTGGGGCAATGTAAACAGTTTGACTGGTTACTGAACCAGACACAACTGTTTACACCAAGTATAGACAAACTTTGGCTCTCCAGGTGTTTTGAACTTTAACTCCCACAATTCCTAACAGCCGGTAATCTGGCTGGGATTTCTGGGAGTTGAAGTCCAAAACACTTGGAGGGCCAAAGTTTGCCCATGCCTGGTTAGCATGATCTTGTATTCCCCAGGCTTGGACAGCCTGAGAACACAGGATGACACTCATCATCCCTGCACCTGTTTTCATCGTAGTGCGGGGCTACTGGGTGCAACATGACTAGTGTCTGTCGCTCATTACCTGGAATGGTGTTGTCGAGGTTGCACGGGTGATTGAAGAAGAGAGGAGTGAAAGGAGAGGGTGATTCTTCTTGACCTCCCTCCTGCATCTCTCTGGTGCCTCTACCAATGTCACTTGAGGTTATGAGAGAGGAACACTAGCCTTATATTGCTCAGTGGTTACCAGCATGACTGAAACAGGAGGCAGATGGTAGAAGTGGCTGTCTGATGCTAGTGGATGATCAATACTCCTTTGACTGCTAGCCCTGGGGGCTAGCCGTCAAACCCATCCAGATTCCAATCTGAAATCTGACACTATGAATCAGTTCCCAGCATAAAGTGTCCATATGATCACCCCACATTCCAGATAAATTCAATCAAGGAACCCATAGCCCTGAGTCCGTAAGACCTGAACAAAGCTGTTGATGAAAGAGTGACTTGGAAGTCTCTCATTCATGAGTTCATCCTAAGTCAAAGTTCAGTTGGTGGAAACAAATACCAGTATTTTGTAAAAGTTACATAAGTGTGCCACCTAGAGCAGAAGATAAGTACTACATGAGATTTGTTAGAATTAGCATTAGAATAGTAGTTTTAAAAACTTAAAACAGTTAAAATATTTCAATGATTTAACAATCAAAACATAACCCCCAAACCAAAAGAAAACCAATCTGTGGTCTCTTTAAATTCCAAATGCATAAGAAAAAAGTGAGGTCATAGCTTGATGCCAAAATATGGCCAATAATAGAGCCAATCACTTTTCCAAGTCGTAGCATTCTTCAGCTGACACACTACAATTGGGAAAGCCCTTTCCAGTATCATCACATGAAACTCCCTGCCCCCAGTTCATCTTAATGGTCAGCCAAGGCTCTTTATGTGTAGATGGCACTTCCTCTCAGCCACTTAAGTGCTTTGAGACCTTGATCTCAAACTGGAAACAACCACAATTTACAAACAGCATTGTAAAAGGTAAAGGTTTCCCCTGGCATCAAGTCATGTCTGATTCTAGGAGGTGGTGCTCATCTCATTTCTAAGCTGATAAGCTGGTAGGTGTCTGTAGACACCTCCAAGGTCATGTGGCTGGCATGGCTGCATGGAACGCCGTTACCTTCCCAAATGTGATCTAGTCACATTTGCATGTTTTTGAACTGCTAGGTTGGCAGGTGCTGAGGCTAACAAAAGGAGCTCACCTTGCTCCCTAACCAACAACCCTTTGGCCAGTAAGTTCAGCAGCTCAGTGGTTTAACTCGCTGTGCCACTTGGGGGGGGCGGGGAGCAGAAACAACATAAGATGTCAATCTATTTCTGCCAGCAATCAAGCTATGAGTTTATGCACTAACTGCAACACTCATCTTCAAGGGCATAAAGTGCACTGCAGCAATCAAAATGGCAAGTTGGCAGTGTGTGTATTACTTTGGCCTTAGCAAGAAGCAATAAAACCATAACCTAAGATAGTGTTTTAAATATTGCTGCAATTGGCGGCATTTCAAATTCAAAATGCTTATTTCACAATGCATAGCTCTCTCAATTCATCTTCGTGAGGACAGTGAAGTAAGAGAGTAAGGTTATTTATACTTGCAAGAGAAAGGGGTTATTACTTTTACTTGTGTATATGGTGGAAGTAGTACAGGAAGTTTCCTTTTGGCTGCTGAAATGGGGGAACATGAGAGAGAAGAAGAAACTCAGATCTCTGCATTGAAGGAAGGACTTTAACTATTTACAACACGGGGTTGACAGGAAGAAGCTGGAGTCTTGTTATCATTGGAGGAAAATGTTTCCTTTGCTTGCAGAGAAGGGGCACTGAGGATATGAAGAAACTGGAATCTTGGGAGTAGTTGCAGGGATTCCTCTGTTAGCTTAGCCAGGCTGTGTATGAGCACCTGGAGTCTTATCATCTGGAGTGGAGGTGTTTCTCTAGCTTGGAAAGGTGTAAGTTCTGATGCGTTATGTTTTCAATCTCTTTAAAATTGGTAGCAAGCTGAGTAAAATATCATTTTCAGTTTGTATCGTGCAAATTACATCAGGATTTGCTTGTATGTGTACATAAACATTAAGATATAAATTGTTGTGTTTTCCATCATTTGCCTAATACATAGAGTTTACTTTTTTCTCAGCTGCCACTCATTTAGGTGGTGTTTTCATTTAAAGCACAAAAGAGAGTGATACATTCACAGCCAGCAGAGGGTCAAAGCACAATTACTTTTATTTTCACTTTGGCAACAATTCTTGCATAATAATCTCTTAACAGAATGTTGCATGAAGTTGTGGCTCAATCATTGTTCCCTTAGTCATTTACTCCTCCAGTTATACAGCGTTGTTGAAGTTTTCAATTAGCCAGGGCAGCATCCTATTTAAGGACTGTTACTATACCCCAAACAGAATCGAGAAATCTGATTGACAACGTGCTTTGACGCCAACATCTTTACCAAACACAAATGTCACAGTTCCCCTTAGTCATCTAGGTATGTTTAGAAAGCCTTCGGTACAGTCAGAGCTGCTTTCAGAGTCAAAATATTTTTCTTGTTTCCACTGGTGAGATTCAATTCAGGAGAACTTCCCAGGTTGAGGTGGTGGGCCAAGGAATCCTCCTGCCTGCTTGGTGGCTGCTCGAGAAGGAGCCAGACCCAACAGCTTCTGAATATTCTGGTAAGAAACAGAAAGACAAGAATTAGGCTGACAAAGAAACTAAACAAACCCCAATTACCCTCAAATAATTGTTAGTCGAATAATTGCTCATCAGTGATGAGACTAATGATATCAAACCAAATATGCATATGTTTGAAAATATTATACATTTTAATCTCCCTGAGACAGGCAGACTGGAAGGCAGGCTTCCTAACAGTGTTTCAGTTGCCCCTGCTCCCAGGCCACATGTGGTAGCAATGGTGGAACCAGGATTTCTGCATTTCAACTAAAGGTAAGTGTACCCAAGACATGTGCTTATGGGGAGTGGGACAACAGTTGCAAAAATGAGTAAGTTAAACTGTGACAAATTAATTTTTAAAAATTCAAAGAACTCAGAAAAGAGAAGTCTCATCCTCAGCAAAGGGGGCTTGAGAATAGTGTTGATAAAGTCCAATTTGCTAGTGCTCCTCCTCCACACAAGTCCTTTGATGCAGAAGTATCAGGATATATGTGTGAGTAGGTGTAGCATTCCATTCCATAATTTTGAGCAGATGGAATAGGGTAAAGGAAGACAACAGAAAAGGGGTGCAATTTCAAAATGTTAGATATAATATGAATTAGAATGAATAATGATATCCAGTGTTAGGGTTTTCATGTTTCCCAAAGCAGGTACAAAAAGAAGGACTGGGGTGGGGGTGGGCAGGAGTGATATAGAGATCTACAGGCTTGGTTGCAGTCATTAAAGCTAACACTTTCACCTCGTCCTCCACATTAATAATCTATTTTTCCTCTTCAATGGAACTGTCTAAAATTGTGCCCTCAATGTCTTACTTTCAAAAAACACCCTTCCATCATGAACTATCTTCTCTTTTAGTATTCCTGACACCCATTATTTCCCCAAGCCACTGCCTCTTAATCTAAATCTTACCTATGGCGTTGTTGTGAAAATAAAAGAACCCTGGCCTACATTTGTTGTTCTGAGCTCAGTGGACATAAAGTGACACAAATATCTACCTTAGCATTTTGTTCAGTTATGGCGTGAATTGTCCATGTCTTTGCAAAGCTGCTCAAAAAGCCCAGTTCCACACAGTGATTTGCTTTTTATAAAACTGTAAATTTTGACTGCTTCATTTAAAGTGCATTTTTCTGGCATCATCTTAGCAACCAGAGCTTTCCTATGTGTGCAGCAATAGCACCTGGTGCTATGATTTCCTTAATCCCAAAAAGTAAAGCAAAATAGAAGTATCTGGAAGTCAGATCTAGAACCTGCCAGGGTAAAACATAACAGTATCAGACTCAGGCTCAAATCAGCCTTTACATTAATATTGTATGTATTTTCCCTAGCATGTTTTCCTGTGTTCCAACCAGCCTTAATCTGTACGAACATGAGTATCTTTGATGGTTAAACTTGCCAGGGACCATATGAAGATCATAGTCACAGAAGTAGAAGAGGTATCAAAATCTTGCCCACTGATAATATGGCTGCTTGGTTTTAATTTATACTTAATCCACATAGTGGAGATTTTAATTGTATCTGTTTTGTACTCAATTTTAAACATATTTATTAAACAATTGCTACAATGTTTCTTCAAATTTTTAATTATATCCTTTATTCCGTCCCATCATGGCATTGTTATATTTTCAAATATAGTGTGCAAACACCTCTTTTACATGTGTTTTAAGATGTATATAGTAGGGCTGGGCGGTTTCGTTTCGTTAATTCGTAATTCGTTAATAATTCGTTAATTTTTTCAATTACAAAACGATAACGAACCATTCTGGAGCAATTATTAAAAAAACGAATTTTCAAAAACGTTTTGTAAATGCTTCGTATTTCGATATTGTATTCGTTTCGTTATTGTTTTGAGGTCGTTTCGTTATTATTTCCGCATGTCTGGGCCAGTTTTATGGTTTAATTAGTGAAAAAAAATTATAATATCACACCAACAGTCAACAACAGAGGGAGAGGGAAGCTTCAGAAGGTTTTGGAGGTTTTTTAGCGTATTTCACGGTTGCGCCCGCCATTAACGAATCGATTCGTTATTGCTTCGGAAATCGATTCGTTAATTTTTTACCATTTACGAAATTTCGTAAATATCGAACTTTTTAAAAGGAAAATTTTGTAATTATTTTAAATATCGAAACAAAAAAACCCCCTAAATACAAATCGATTTTAGAAACAAATTTTTCCGTTGTTATCCAGGCCTAGTATATAGCTATTGCATTGCCTTATGGTTTGCTGACAGTAATAAAGGCATACCGACTGACTGACTGACTGACTGAAAGTCCACAACTGTTTTTGAAAGACAGTATCTTTTATGCTAAAACATGACTGACTACTTCCAGAGATATTTTAGAATAGTTAATTCACATTTCAACAGAAGAGTGACCCAGAGGTGATCGTCAGGAGCCAGAGGCCACAAAAAAGCCCTGTGAGACCAAAAATGGCTCCAGGTCCATACTTTGCCCATCCCTGATTTTGAGCCAATAGTAAGAATGGAAATAAATATCTACCTTAACCATTAGTTCAATTATGGAAAAGTTTGAGAAAAATCTGTGAAAGCATTTCATTAATTAGGCAAGTTGTAGAAAGCAGGAAAAAAGTTCTCACAGGGGCAGGATATAAATCTTCTCACCCAGCCCAGATTTTGGTCCATGTTCCAAGACACTTAAAGGCCCTTGAAGACTAGTCTACGCAGCACTTCACACCCTCAACAGGAAGGCAGGAAGAACTCCAAGGCACGACTGACGTGCCACAGGAACATGGAAACTGCACAGAGGAAATTGCTCATTGTAGGAGGTATTTTTAAGGCATGATCAACCTCGGGTCAGAAGAAATGTCCTTGCCAAGGGTCAAAATATTTCCACAACATCAAGGCCAAATAAACCCTGTAAAGTACAACACCTCTTCATGATTCTAACCAAAACCACGACCTTAAACATGCTTCCCAAAGTGTGAAGCAGTCAAATGTCAGCTTTCCTTCCCAGGCAACATAAAACAAACAAAAGGAAAGCAGTTCTGTTATTTCATTGTCCCTCCAGTGTGTTCCCACGACTTCTTCAATCCAGGCTTGGTCGAAAGACATATTATAGTTTGTAGTAACCTACACCAAGCCTCACAATTACATTATTTCTCATTTGCAGGCAAGTTAAGAGTACCTTGTTTGCCTCCTTTTTTCTTTAAAGAGGATAAAGAAACTGAGTTTATTTTAAGTCTACTCCTTTGCATTGTAGGAGAGAAAAAACCCTGCTAGCTGCAGTAGTACAAAATCATGGGGAAGGTTATTTTGCTACAGCAGAGAGGGTAAAATCTGCTTCCAGATACTTGGACTACCACTCCTGTGTCATTTTTTAGAACACATATTGCAGATAATTATCTGTAGGCTTGCTGGGAACACTTCAACTCATTTAAAATCTAACTTTCTGCTAAATATCTCTTGAATTTCCGCCAAAAGACTATCAAAGCACAAGAGATGATACTGCCCACATAGGAAGCTGCAATCATTTACTAGAAAAACACACAGTCAAGATCACTCTTGACAGGATAAATCCTTTATGTGATTATCTCTTTGTAGATTCCTAAAGTTATAGATGGTCCTGCGGAATTAAATGGCACAGTTACAATAAAATAATGCACTACTCACCTGTCGAATAGACATAGTACAGAGTATGTAGAGAAAGATGAAGGAACAATCTGTGTAGTCCTCACCCAGAAGATTACGATGAGACAAGCCCTGGATATAGGAAAGTGGTACAAACGGAAGTTTCGCAACTACTCGGCCATCAAATCTGGGGAAAACAAAGAATGCTCCTGGTTAACTGTGCAGCTCTTTCAGTATCAGGTTTATCTGTAGTAAACGTCATCTGCCTACAGCAAGTAAACAGCAACAACCCCACAAACCTGTACTGAACATGTGTGAGCAGAAAGGAAAGGGGACAGCATATAAGCCTATCTCATCAGCTCCCTCCCGCTCCAACATGTTAAAAAGCAGAGCTTTATAAGTATGGTCACCAAAAAAGAATGCATAAGGAAATTTATGGATACTTGAGAAAGAAACAAATGCCTTTGGATATAATTTGGAAGAAACTTTCACAGATTCAAAATGTTTATTTAAGCAATATTTCATTGCACATGTGTATATTGTTTGTTTTGAATAAAAACTACTGAAACAAAAAAAATTAGTCTACAAGTGTGGCTTGGAGCAGAACAGAGCTCACTCAGGTCCAATACAGACAGCCGTTGACCAGCTCAGCTAATGCCAACAGAGCAGCAATTTGTACAATATGTAACTTAAGGGACAGACACCTCGAGTACAAAATCCTCCCCATTCACAGCTGAAGAAATAAATAGACATATAGATAGAAATATAAACAAAAGGATTTTATGATTTGCTGCAAAGAAAGCAAGCTCCATTTAGTTACTAAAGCAACAGGTGAGAAAACCTATTTCAAATTCCTGTGAGATGAGAACTGCCTGAGTAAATTAAGGTTACTTTGGATCTAAATGCGAATAGTTAAATTCAAGTCTGTGCTAATTTGAAAATTCCAAATGTATTTCTTATGCCACACAGCTATACCCCCCCCCCCCGTGTTGCTCAATTTTAGCAGGTGCTTCTGTTGCAGTAAACTCTTAAATGAGTGTTTTTTCCTGTAGCAACATTAATTCAACAAGCTACAGCTTCCACGTCCAACAAGTGCCAATCCTACTAACAACCAAGATAGTTTGGCAGCATGGCAAGAAACGGATGTTTGTCTCCCTTTGATAGCCCCCCAGTGCTATAGCATTCTACGTGGTTCCTGTCTCCTCTTCTGAGCACAGCTAAAAAGAGAAAAACAAGCAGGAAGTGTTAAAGCGTAGGGCCCCAGTGCCTCCGTCACTGTACTGAGTAAAAAAACTAAAGACAAGAATGTTAACTCGATAGAAGCAGTGGGAAATCCAAGTCAACTCTTTTTCCTTGATCTCAATAACCTAATCACCAAAATGAAAATGATCACAATGGAAAGTTCATATGAAATCCCATTTCTCCAGCATGGCTAACAAACCCCATTTTGCTCACCCAGCATTTGAGAGAAAAAGTGGGATAAAAATATAAATAAAATCAACAACAACAATTATAACATGGGGGAAAGTATATATAAATCTAAAAAGAAATAATTTTCAAAAAGTTATCAAAACATCAGACCTGTTTGTGACTTTTAGTCCACCCTGTCCATACAGTGAGGACTACCAAGGTTGCAAGAACTGGGAATTACACAGACTTCCAATCAACACCGAAAACTGAGGTTTTCCACTCTTTCAGAATTAAGGAGAAGTGCTGAAGCTGTTTTACAGTCATCTAAATCATAATCATAGGAAATTCTCTAAAACCTATAGTGATATATGAAAAAAAATCCTATACAAGCTATAATTCTTAACAACCATAAAATACCCTAAGCTATTTGGTAACAATTCCCAGCCACCCCAGGCTTTCTAAGTTACAAAGCTAAAAAACAGAACCCTAGGAGATAGTTAAGGGGGTCAGGACTCATAATTGATTCAATACCCATGTTATGTATCTTTTTCCAGTGATGATCCAATTAAAACATAACTTTTCCTTCTTGCTGGCAATATTCTGTCCACAGTAAGATTTCATGTTGGCAACCAAGAAGCAATATCCACAGCAATTTCTGTTTATCTAGATATTATTTTCATAAAGAAAGTAAAAGAGCTGAAAATAGTGAAAGTCCCCATATTAGAAGTAGTAGTAGATTGTCAAATTGCTCCTCCATAAGAGACTAGAATCACAATAACTTTCAGGAGACTGATGATAAATACAGGTTTCAGACATAATGGTTACTTGAAAAAAGAAAGAAAGAAAGAGCTCAACTGTCTTTAAAAACTGAGAGGTACCAACTTACATAGAATTGAACATTCCCATCAGAGCGGTGAAGCAAAACCCAATTGCAAACATAGACTTCATGCGAACCTGCAAGTGAAAGAACAAATGAGCTTATTAAAGTTTGAGAAATGGGGAGATCAATGTGGGACAAAAATTGTGGGGAAAAGATGGTGTCTTCAACATGTTTGCTACTATTAAATCTAGAGTCTGTAGTCTGCATATATGCACTTTTTGAGCCATATCATCTAGCAATGGTTCCCAATCTTTGGGTCTCCAGGCATTTTGGACTTCAACTCCCAGTAATCCCAGCCATCTTACTAGCTGTTTGAAAAGTCCGAGACACCTGAAGGTTGGGAACCACTGATAGGGCCAACAGAAAGACCCAGTTGAAAACAATGTCCCTTAAATATGTCTAGTGAAAGACACTATAAAAAGCACAGCTCTAGAGCAGCCTTTCCACAGCAAATTCACTTTGTCCCTTTTCTTTCCCTCTGCTCTGGACCCAAAAGGGGTGGATTTTTTTTTTTTAGTTCAAACACTCAATTATTTTAAATTGGATAATGAAGGGTATGTGTGTCAAATTTTGTCCAGATCAATCAAACCATGTAGGAGCCTTTGTGATACAAAGAGACAAACCAATAAACATGTATATATACTTTGATTTTTATATACATAGATTTATTCAGTACACAGTGTTTCCTTACCATTGAAAGATCCCTGTTGTTATTCTTCAGTTTCTCTTCCTGCCTCTCTGCAAAACAGTGAGAAAATGCTTACTATGTATTACAAAGTAAAGGACTCATTTCCAACAATGCTACAAGAAAGAAACTCTAAGAAGAAACTCTGTAGCAGGAAAAGGAGACTTTAACTATTTCCTAGTATAACAGAAAGGCATATTGGAGGCTGAGGCAGTCAGTCCAATGCAAGATTTCCAACTATACCTTATATCAGGCATGGGCAAACTTTGGCCCTCCAGGTGTTTTGGACTTCAACTCACACAATTCCTAACAGACAAAGTTTGCCCATGCCTGGGTTATATGACCAGAGAAGATAACAATCTCCTCCTCTTCAAACGCTAAGTGCACAGTGTTGTGCATTTTCTCTCCCAATGAAGCTTAAAATTGGTTGCCCAAAATAAATTACACAATTTACATGATGACAATAATCTTGATACAAAGATTAACTTCAAGTTGTAGGGACTTTATTGGTACTAATCACATTTATTGTTACAGTAATATTTTGTTTGAAAAAACAATGTTTAAAATTGTTTTTTTAATTTTAGAAGACTAGTTTAAATAGCTAAATTTACCCACTAACCTTTAGAGCAGGAATATAATTTTTCAATATACACAAAATGAATACTTCCTATTTATGAAAAAATATGACTCCTCAGAAAAATACACACATCCACATACATCAGATCCCAGTATTACCTATTTTCTTTTTCTGCTGCCGGCCAGCTGATTCTGTTATTGTTTCCTTCTTTTTTTCCACTGCAGAGATTAGACAACATAGTGAGTTCTTTTCATAAAGAAAGCACCCTGCCTCTTTCTTTCTGCCTCTTAAGACTTGAAAAAGCATTTACAGAAAAATCAGAACAAACAGGATACATGAGTGATAAAATATCCAGTTTTGAAAAAAAAAAACCCGTTGTTTTTAGATCAGTATCAAGAAGGATCAAGTGTACTGTAACATGTTTCATGTAGCCAACTTTGCTTTTCTGTCCACAGTCTTATAGAAAGGTATCTGTCAACAACTCTAATCCAGGGTTTCTTAGCCAGAGTCCCCTGAAAAAACTAGAGTTCAACAAAGTCACCAGAAATTCTGCAAGAGATTGTGATTTTCAAAAAGAAAATAAATGTTCTTTGAGCTGCAGAGATAATAACTATGTAAGGTTCCCTGAGATCTGAAAATTATTGCCCTCAAGATAAAAAGGGCAAGAAAGGCTTCTCTACTCCATAAAATGGTATGCCACAAGATAGACTATCAAGACTTTTAAGCAGCACAAGGCTTTTTGTGCAGAACTATCAATAAATGGATAACACTGTCCTTCTCGCTGCCACACAAATACATGGCAAAAATCCAGTGGGTTATCTTCATTCAGGCATTTTTCTCATCTTACGTTTTTCATTAAGAATCAACGTCTGCCTTTGGCAGAACGTGTCATTTTTTTTGCCACGTAATGATATGCTGGATGTGTAAAGGCCTTCTGAAACAGAGCATTAATGTTTATTTTCAAACTATACCTAAAACCTAGATATATAAGAGCTTAATTTGTTGCTTGCTATCCGGAGAAGCTTAAGAACATCTTCGAAGTTATCAGGGGAGAATGGCAGCCAAGTAGATATGTTCAAGAATATACTTCAGCAAGTACTATAGACTGCCCTCAACATATCCAAATTGTCAGCTTGCAGCTTGCAGCATACATTGAGTCAATGCAGTGAATTAGCTGGACAAAAAACAACTAGGTATTGGTTTTGATGGCAGAATGCATATTGCAAGCTATAATGGAAAAAGATGCTTAGAAAATATTTTTGTCAACTTCCTGATGATTGGCATGTTCCATGATAATAAATGGCTTTTTGATAAACTGTCTAATGAAACCTGGGTGGTCCAGCTTTGACTGGATCACAATGTGAAACTGCAAGGTGACAGTGAAGGACACAGACATAAAGTCAAAGTTGAATCAGGATATTTCCTATGTTTATGTATTAAGCTGAATCAGCTAATTCTTGTTTATCAGTCAGAATATTTTGACCTTTACTGAATGCAATTTCTTTTCTTATTTACCTAAAATACGCCTTGTTCTTCATCATGATACCAAGGGAATTTTACAAAATCAAATTTTTAAAATCTCATGGATCACAGAAGGTTTCCTTTAACTTCCTGGACATCTTATGGAGATATTTTGTGCTCACAAAAGCCTCAGAGAAGCCAGGCACATGGACATTAGCCACATTTTTCAGTACAGATTTCCTGACAAGATGGAAAAGCTAGCTGGATCTATTTTTGCCTTCAAAGTGCATGTATACAGCACAACTTGCTGATTAAAACTCTCTCTTTTGCCGAAATATATTCAAGTGATCAGAAAAAGCCACTGTACTATTATAAGAAAAAAAATAGTATTAGTTGTGGCCTGGAGCATAATCCTTTGAGCGTGTTCAGTTGGAAAAAGAAGTTGGCTAACACCTGAACAGAATTTTGTCAAACACAAATCACAGAGTTGGAAGAGACCACGGGCCATCAGACAATTCAATCCCCTGCCATGCAACAATACTCCTGACAGATGGCCATACAGCCCGCTTAAAAACCTCTAATGAAGAAGACCTCATCACTTTCCAAGGTGGCATATTCCACAGTCAAATGCATATAGAGATCTCCCCTCTCCATGTACACCAGCAACTGGTGTTTGTAAAACTTCCCATTTTCAATCTAATGCATAGCTATGAGGTCTGCATGCACTAATGATCTTATCCTCTATATCAAATATTATAGCTATTGTCCAGAATCTGAGTATCCTTCGGAGAAGACCAGCTCTATAATAACATTAATAACAATAATAAGCTTTATTTATACCCCGCCCCCTCTCCCTGAAGGGACTTGGGGCAGCTTACAACACAACAAATGAATACAATAAATGAAATTAAAAAATAATGACATATCAATTAACAAGAAACAAAATAACAAAATAATATAAGTATAAATAGATGAACAATTTTAAAACTAAGAAACCCTATAAAAACAATATATCATGCACTTTAACAATTTATTCCTATGATTCCCATGATCCTCTACTGCGTTGTTACATTTTGGTGTAATACTTACACTTTTTGCTCTGCTTTTCCACTTCTGCTTTCAACCGCTTATACTTGTCTGTTCTATAGACCAACACCCACGTTATACCTGAAACAATGAGGTATATAATCAAGGCACATATATATATACATACACGCACACACACCTACCTACCTCTCAAATGAGCAACCTGCCCTCCATCATTGGGTGATTGTATGCTGTAGAATTAATGTAGTTTTATGCCATTTCAGCTGCCATGTCTCTTTAGCTTTCTCTGACAAAGAGTGCTGGTGCCTTATCTATCTACCTACCTACCTATGAAGAATCATAGAATAAGAGTTGGAGGAGACAACATGGGCCATCTAATCCAACCCCCTGTCATGCAGGAAAAGCACAATCAAAGTATTCCTGACAGTATTCCTCTGCTTAAAAGGAAGTAGCTTCCACCACATGCCAAGGCAGAAAGTTCCACAGTTGAGCAGCTCATATGGATAGGAAATTCTTCCAAATGTTCAGGTGGAATCTCCTTTCCTGTAATTTGAACCCACTGCTTCAAGTCCTAGTTTCAAGGGCGGCTGAAAACAAACCTGCTCCCTCTTCCTTATGACACCCTTTCACATATTTATACATGGCTATCATGTCTCTTCTCAGCCTTCTCTTCTAGAGGCTAAACATGCCCAGTTCTTTAAGATGCTCCTCATATGACATGGTCTCCAGACCTTTGATCATTTTAGTTGCCCTCCTGGACACCTTCCAGCTTGTCAATATCTCTTTTGAACTGTGGTGCCCAGAATTGGACATAGTATTCCAGATGAGGTCTAACCAAAGTCGAATAAATGACTTCCCTCGATTTCAACACTATACTCCTTTTAATGCAGCTTAAAATCTCACTGGCTTTTTAAGCTGCTGCATCACAATGTTGGCTCATGCCCAACTTGTTATCCCTGAAGCCTCTCAAGATCTTTTTCACATCACTCAATTCAAAGTGCTGGTTTTGGTCTATAAAACCCTGAAGGGTTCCGGTCCAACTTATCTCCCTTTATGAGCCTACAAGAACTTTAAGATTGGATGGGGAGGCCCTTCTCTTGGTCCCACTCTCATCACAAGAGCGATTGGTGAGGGACTTCTCAATTGTGGCCCCTCATCTGTGGAACTCCCTCTCTAGTAACTTCAGACAGGCCCCATACTTCCTGGTCTTTAGAAAAAATCTGAAGACCTAGTTGTATAAGCAAGCATTTGGTGAATAGGGTATTATGGAATTAGACTTGAACAGCATGAATAACTGAATATGGCTTTTGGAAAATGATTATGGATAGGTATGACATCATGACTTGGCGGTTTTTATTCTGTTTTATTGTTTGTCTGTTTTAATTGTGCATGTGTTTTGATTGCTTTGTAGTTTGGTGGGGTGTGTTTTACTGTTATGTTCACGCAGCATTGAATTTTTCCAGATTTTGTAAGCAGCCTTGAGTCCCCTGTGGGGTTGGGAAAGATGGGGTAGAAATAAAGTAAATAATAAATAATAATAGACTGCTGTCGAGCTAGACATCACCCATTTTGTATCTTTGCATTTCATTGGTTTTCTGTCTAAGCATAAGTTCTTAAATTTGTCCTTGTTGAAATTCATTTTGCTTGGGTTTTTTCGGGCTATATGGCCATGTTCTAGAGGCATTCTCACCAGGGTGGGACAAAGAACTCTTGTCTGTTGGAGCTAGGTGTGAATGTTTCAACTGACCACCTTGATTAGCATATGATGGCCTGATGAGGAAATACAGCATACAAACTATCTACAGACCCACCAAGAAAATCCAACAAATGCTACATTCAGCAAAGGACAAGAGGGATCCTCTACACCTAGCTCCAACAGACAAGAGTCTTTTGTCCCACCCTGGTCATTCCACAGATATATAAACCTATTTTCCTAGTTCCAACAGACCTCACACCTCTGAGGATGCTTGCCATAGATGCAGGCGAAACGTCAGGAGAGAATGCCTCTCGACGTGGCCATATAGCCTGAAAAAACCCACAACAACCCAGTGATTCCGGTCATGAAAGCCTTCGAGAATACATTCATTTTGCTTGTTCTGGCCCAGCTCTCTGATCTGAAAAAGTCAGATAGATTTTTAAAATTTTATTTACTGTATTTGTATACAGTATTATTTATTTATTTACAGCATTTATATTCTGCCCTTCTCACCCCACAGGGGACTCAGGGCAGATTACAATGTACACATATATGGCAAACATTCAATGCCAATTAGACATACAATGTATATAGACATACACAGAGACTTTTTAACTTTTTCTGGCCGCCAGGGGAGCTGTCGCTTTCATTGTCCATCTGCGACACTGATGAAGTACTTCCACATTCCCCACATGCTTTTGCTGGAGTCCTTTTATGGCCTCATAAATTAGTTAATTAGCCTCCCCACACATAGGTGGTACCTAATTTTCCTACTTGACAGATGCAACTGTCTTTCGGGTTGCAAAGGTCGACAACAAGCTACACAAAATTGGCCGGAAGCTCACTCCGACTCGGGCTGGCTTTGAACTCATGACCTTCTGGTCAGATTGATCTTAATGCAGCTGACACTGATACCGCCTTTCTCAGCCTAGATGGCATAGATAGATAGATAGATAGATAGATAGATAGATAGATATGTCAAAGCACGTGTGTGTGTTTGTTTATTCGTTTGTACCATAAAGGCTGTTGCTAGGTGAAGTGGCCCTTTGATGTCACTGGATTGGCTGTTGCTAAGTAATGTGGCCCTCTGTCACTTCACCTGATGTCACAAAGGGGGGAGGTCGCTATGAGTCCTCACAGGGAGAAAGGCAAGGAATAAATACAGTTAATTATTATTATTATTATTAATAATAATAATAAAGGCAATGTGTGTCTGTCGGGAAGGGGGAATGAAAGAAGGAGAGGAAAAGGGGAAAGAAAGTAATGGAGAAGGAAGAAAGGGAAAAGGGGGGAAAGGAGGGAAGAAGGGAAAAGGGGGGAAAGGACGGAAGAAGGGAAAAGGAATGCGGAAGGAAAGAAAAGGGAAGAGGTTGAAGGAGAGAAAAAGAAAATAAGAGGCAGAAAGTAAGGGAAAGGAAAGCAGGAAGGAGGGAAAAGGGGTATGTGGGAAAGTAGGGAAGAAAAGAAAGAAAGAAAGAAGAGAGGGAGAGCGAAGGCATATGAAGGAAATGAAGGGCTAGAAGGCATGATCATCAAGTTTGCAGATGACACCAAATCGGAAGGGATAGCCAATACTCCAGAGGTCAGGGTTCAAAACGATCTTCACAGATTAGAGAGATGGGCCAAAACTAACAAAATGAAGTTCAACAGTGACAAATGCAAGATACTCCACTTAGGCAGGAAAAACAAAATGTAATAATACAGAATGGGGGACGCCTGGCTTGAGAGCAGTACGTGTGAAAAAGATCTTGGAGTCCTTGTGGACAGCAAGTTAAACATGAGCCAACAATGTGATGTGGCGGCAAAAAAAGCCAATGGGATTTTGGCCTGCATCAATAGGAGCATAGTGTCTAGATCTAGGGAAGTAATGATACGCGTCTATTCCGCTTTGGTTAGACCACACCTGGAATAGTGTGTCCAATTCTGGGCACAATTCAAGAGAAATATTGACAAGCTGGAATGTGTCCAGAGGAGGGAGACTAAAATGATCAAGGGTCTGGAGAACAAGCCCTATGAGGAGCGGCTTAAGGAGCTGGGCATGTTTAGCCTGAAGAAGAGAAGCATGAGAGGAGATATGATAGCCATGTATAAATATGTGAGAAGAAGTCATGAGGAGGAAGGAGCAAACTTGTTTTCTGCTTCCTTGGAGACTAGGATGCAGAACAATGGCTTCAAACTACAAGAGAGGAGGTTCCATCTGAACATGAGGAAGAACTTCCTGACTGTGAGAGCCGTTCAGCAGTGGAACTCTCTGCCCCGGAGTGTGGTGGAGGCTCCTTCTTTGGAAGCTTTTAAACAAAGGCTGGATGGCCATCTGTCAGGAGTGATTTGGATGCAATATTCCTGCTTCTTGGCAGGGGGTTGGACTGGATGGCCCATGAGGTCTCTTCCAACTCTATGATTCTATGAAATTGAGGAAGGAAAGAAACACAAAGAGAGTTACCTGAGTGTTGCCATGGAGACATTGTCAGGTAGGTCTTCTCAGAGCTGGAGAAGGGAGAAAATAGGCAGGCAGCGCCCCCCCCCCCCTTAAAAAAGCCTGAGCAACGTCGCATATATATGCTAATCTAAATGTTAGGACTGTATAGTACTAAGCTATAGCAGTTGGAGTGCTGTCGAACTGCATTAATTCCACCGCAAAGACATACCCTTTGCCCCCTGAGTGAAGCACAACCGGGCAGTCCTTCAACTTAGGCCACTAGGACTCCCCTCGCACTCACCTTCAGCCAGCAATGCCGTGCACACCGAGATGAAAACGATGAGGACGGTGTCTGCAAACATGGTGCTCATTTTGGGACCCAGTCGAATGCAGCGCCTCCCCGGAAGTTAGGCCCCGACCGGAAGTTGGGGGACAGCAGGCGCAGAGGCACGCGCGTCCCAGCGCCGGAGTTCCGCTTTCAGCTCGCTCCCCTCCCCACTCTCCCTCCCTCCCTCCCTCCCTCCCTCCATCCCCCACTCCATCCCTCTTTATTAGGATATTGTGGGGAATGTTTAGTTTTTCAGTATAGATTTAATAGAATTACAGCTGTTGTGTCCATGATACAAACATTTGGTTTTAGCTTGGGGACCCAGGAATGCCCGGGTTATTTGAGATAGGCATTGTTTGTTTGTGCTGCAGTTTTAGTTTAAATCTACTGTCTGGTGGGTTCAGTGGGTGCAGGTGAACTACAACTCCCATATGCAAGTCCCATCATCCATGGTCCATCCTCCAAACTGCACCAGGATGTAGGGTGGATCATGGGGGCTCTGTGTGTCAAGTTTGGTCTTGATCAGTCATTGGTGTGGTTATCAGTGGTCTCAGGAAGTGAATGAAGGTACTGCAAGTCCCATCATCCATGGTCAAACCTCCTCCAAACGGTACCAGGATGTAGAGTGAATCATGAGGGCTCTGTGCGCCAAGTTTGGTCTTGATCAGTCATTGGATGAGGGTTGCAGTGGTCTTGGGAAGTGAGTGAAGGTACTGCAATTCCCATCATCCATGGTCTGTCAACAATCTGCACCAGGATGTAGAGTGGGGCGTGGGGGTTCTGTTTGCCAACTTTGACCTTTATCGGTCATTGGTGTGAGTCGCAGTGGCCTGAGGAAGTGAGTGAAGGTACTGCAAGTCCCATAATCCATTATCCCTCCTCGTCTAAACCACACCAGGATGTAAAGTGGGTCATGAGGGGTCTGTGTGCCAAGTTTGGTCCTGGTCTTTGAATTTTGGGGGACACAGTGTTCTATGGGAAGTGAGTTGGGTGAAGGTACTGCAAATCCCATCATCCATGGTCCATCCTCCCCCAAACTTCACCAGGATATGAAGTAGGTCATGGGTGTTATGTGTGCTAATTTTGGTTCAGGTCTGTCATTCGTGGGGGGGTCGTAGTGGCCTGTGGAAGTGGCAGCCAGTCAGAAAGCTGCCAAGCTGCCACATACCCAGAAACATACATACAAACACTGACTATGTGTGTGTGTGTGTATTTAAACATCTGCAGGGGTACTTAGATTGTGCTTTTCCTGCATGGCAGGGGGTTGAACTAGATATCCCATGTGGTCTCTTCTGTGATTCTATGACACACTTACATACTGCAGCCAACGCACTAATGTGTTATGACATGTTTTAGTGATTCCAAGATTAGGTTATTGTAATATGCTGCACACTGAGATGCCTTTCAAGATTTCATTGAAATAACTGCTATGGCTAAGCTCATCCGCAGACATTTTTATGTGTATGCTCCACTTTTCACCAGTTGCGAATGTATTACTGGGCTCAGTTCAGGGTGCTAACTTTGATTTTTAAAGCCCAGTTTTTTGGGTTTATTTGTTTACCATATTTGATTACTTGACCCTCACCTTTGTTGTTATACATTACAGGCAGTCCCCAAGTTACAAACATCTGACTTACAAGAGAGTTATTGTTAAGAACGGGGGGGGGGGGGTGAAACAACAGGAAGTGAGAGAAATCTACCCCTCAGAAGGGAAATTCACTCATGGAAGAGTTATCATGTGGGAAAGGTGTCGCAACTGAAGCTTTATCTCCATGCCTTGTTTCCACCAGTTTTTTCAAAATTCAGTTATCACAGGGAGAGAAAGTTAAGTGAAATCTGGACAGGGGTACAGAGAACAAAACAAACACCACAGAGATGTTAACCCTTCCTTATGCTATCCAAAGCTCCTACATAGTAAATGTATGTTTGTATGTATATGTGTGGACGATGACATTTGTGGTCAATTTTCTATTGACTCTCACTTCCAGAGGCCAGTGTAACTACCCACTGATGATGGACCTGCATCAAACTTGACACACAAAACCCCCATGACCAACAGAAAATACTAGAGGGAAGAATTATGGAGATGGAATTTTAAACATTATTGATTAGGGTTTATGTGATTTTTTTTGTAATATTGTTGTATACATTTGTTGTTTACATGCTTATTTATTGTGTATTTTATATGTGTGCCACTTTGGAGTGCTTTTGTGAGTTACTCCAAGTCCCTTTGGGGAGATGGTGGCAATATACAAATAAAGTTATTATTATTATTATTATTATTATTATTATTATTATTATTATTATTTGACCCTGATTTTGGGGAGCTACAGTTCACTTGCATCCAGAGAGCACTGAACCCAGCCGATGATGGATCTGGACCAAACTTGGCACACGGACCCTACTTTGAATACAGGCGGGATTTGTGGGTGAATAACTTACAATTTTGGGAATTGTAGATCACCAGCGTCCTTATGCATTTTCTAACAGGAGCAAAGACTCACTTTTAAAAATAAATAGTGTTACGCATTAACTAACCCAGGCATTGCCAGGTACCTAAACACACACACATATATGTTACACTTTAAAAAATGTACCTGTTCTGACTTACATACAAATTCAACTTAAGAATAAACCTACAGAACCCATGTTGTTCTTAACTTGGGGACTGCTTGTATTCTGTAGAAGTAAAAAAAATAGTTATTATGATTAATATAAAACTACTTCCGACTGCTGGAAAACACCTACTGATGACTAATTGTAAGGCTGTCACAACACTACGTAACAAAACTTGAAAAAAAAATCTGTTCCTGGTTTGAAAGTGTTATTTCCTGTTTCATTGTGCAATACTTTTTATTGTTTTGAAAGTCATTTTAAAAGACACTTTGCTTTTGTGGCTGCCACAAACTATGTTGGATTGGTTGAGACTTGATGGGGGCATTTGTTGAAAACCTGGAGCAAAATGTGCTGTAGGATGTCCAGCCAAAGCAAAGTTTTTTGCAATCTAAGGCCTCTTCCACACAGCTGAATAAAGGCCCACATTATCTGCTTTGAACTGGAATATATGGCAGTGTGGACTCAGGGCCCTTCCACATAGTCATATAATCCAGACTATCAATGTAGAATAACCCACAATATCTGCTTTGAACTGCAGTATCTTCAGTCGCACACTGCCATATATCCCAATTCAAAGCAGATAATGTGCTGTGTGGAAGAGGCCCTTCCAGGCAGGCCCTATATCCCAGGATCTGATCCCAAGCTTTCTGTTTATCCCAGATTATCTCGCAGTGTGGACTCATATAATCCAAGTTAAAGCAGAAAACCTGGGATTTGATCATGGAATATAGGGCCTGTCTGGAAGGGTCCTGAGTCCACATTGATACATATTCTAGTTCAAAGCAAGTAGGCTTTGAACTAGCCAAAGGCTTTCATGGCCAGAATCACTGGGTTGTTGTAGGTTTTTTCGGGCTATATGGCCATGGTCTAGAGGCATTCTCTCCTGACGTTTCCTGCATCTATGGCAAGCATCCTCAGAGGTAGTGAGGTCTGTTGGAACTTACCCAGGCCTAATATAAACCCCTTTTCCTAGTTCCAACAGACCTCACTACCTCTGAGGATGCTTGCCATAGATGCAGGCAAAACGTCAGGAGAGAATGCCTCTAGCCCATGGCCATATAGCCCGAAAAAACCTACAACAACCCATGTATTCAAAGCCTTCTCAGCTGTTGCCCCCCGACTTTGGAATTCACTACCTGGTGAGATTAGGCAAGCTCCCACCCTAGCAGCCTTTAAGAAAGATCTGAAAACTTGGCTCTTCCGATGTGCCTTTGGAGAGTGACCATTCACCCCACTTCTGTTTGTTCCACCTACAGTGTTGCCCCTATTATGCACTTTCTCCCATCCTAAACTGAAAGCCTAACCCCACTGTTCATCCTTTTGGGCTTCTTTCAAATGCACTTTTTCTACTCCTACTTCATCCAGGGTTTTATCATTTTACCTTGTCCATGTGGCCCGCCCATTGTGTTTGATTTTCTATTATGTTATTTTGCTTTGTTAACTTTATTTTCCTATTGTATGTATTTTATTGTGATGTAATTTTAGTTTTTTTTGTTGTTTGCATTTTGTATTTTATTTGCTGTATTGTATTTTTGGGCTTGTCACTTTTTTTCACTCCTGACAAGAAAAAAAAAACTCATTGGAAAATAGGATATTATTATTTGAAACACAACAAGATGAGTCCACAGCAGACAAGATCACTCTGCTGGCTGTTGTATTGGATCACATGTCGGACCCTTCCCAAGTGTCTAGGACTGTGTGATGTATTGGTGAATAATGCGTGCAGATCCCAGTAAGGTGGCCTTCTGCAGCTGGCAATTTTGTCAGCGCCAATTGTGTTTAAGTGCAGGCCAAGGTCTTTAGGCACTGCACCCAGTGTGCCGATCACCACTGGGACCACCTTGACTGGCTTGTGCCAGAGTCTTTGCAGTTCGATTTTTAAATCCTCATATTGTGTCAGCTTTTCCAGTTGTTTCTCTTCAATCCTGCTGTCACCTGGGATTGCAACATCGACAATCCATACTTTGTTTTTTAACACGATTGTGAGGTCAGGAGTATTGTGCTCCAAAACTCTGTCAGTCTGAATTCGGAAGTCCCAGAGTAGTTGGATGTGTTAATTTTCTGTAACTTTTTCCGGCTTGTGATCCCACCTGTTCTTTGTCGCAGGCAGATGGTATTTGTGGCACAAGTTCCAATGAATCATCTGAGCAACGGTGTTGTGCCTCTATTTGTAGTCTGTCTGTGCTATCTTCTTGCAGCAGCTGAGGATGTGATCTATTGTTTCATCTGCTTCCTTGCAGAGTCTACACTTGGGATCTGTTGTCGACTTTTCAGTTCTGGCTTTGATGGCATTGGTTCTAATGGCTTGTTCTTGGGCTGCCAGAATCAGGCCCTCCGTCTCCTTTTTCAAAGTTCCATTTGTGAGCCACAGCCATGTTTTTCTTTGTCGATTATTAGTTGTCCCCTGCCACACGTTGCTGTGGCCCAGTCTGGGTATATGTGTTTTGTGTGTATATGTGTGTGTATATATTTGGGTATATGTGTATATATATATGGTTTTGCGCATGCATTGTAATGTATTTTGGGAGGGCTTTTAACGTCTCTTCTTTTATTTATTTATTTTATTTAGCAGTTTTGTATACCGGTCTTCTCACCTCCATCCAGGGACTCAGGCCTGTTTCCAACAACAATATTACAAACAATAATTAAAAACATCATATTCCATATTAGACTAAAACATTAAAATAGCAAAATACAGTCATATAATTACAATGGTCAGTTGTGACAATAAAATCGTTGTTCGTCATCATCCATCCATATCGCAGGATATTGTCTCACTCGTCGAATGCCAGTTTCCAGAGCCAAGTTTTCACTTGTTTTCTGAATGTCAAGATAGAAGGGGCAGTTCTGATCTCCAGTGGAAGGGAGTTCCAGAGTCGAGGGGCCACCACCGAGAAGGCCCTGTCCCTCGTCCCCACCAGACGCGCTTGTGAGGCTGGTGGGACCGAGAGCAGGGCCCCTCCAGACGATCTTAACAATCTTGATGGTTCATAGGGGAGAATACGTTCGGACAGGTAAACTGGGCCGGAGTCGTTTAGGGCTTTATAGGTTAACACCAGCACTTTGAATTGTGCTCGGAAGCTAATTGGCAGCCAGTGGAGCTGGCACAACAGAGGAGTAGTATGCTCCCTGTACCCTGCTCGTGTTAGCATTCTGGCTGCCGCACGTTGGACTAATTGAAGCTTCCGGGCAGTCTTCATAGGCAACCCCACGTAGAGAGCATTGCAGTAATCTAAACGGGATGTAACCAAAGCGTGGACCACCGTGGCCAAGTCAGACTTCCCAAGGTACAGGCGCAGCTGGCGCACAAGTTTTAGTGTTTTCAGTGTTTTTATGAGTGATGGTCACTTGTTGGCCTGATAGGTGTATTGTGTCCAAATTTGATGTCAATTCGCCCAGTCGTTTTTGAGTTATGTTAATCCCACAAACGAACATTACATTTCTATTTATATATAGATTATTATTATATTATTATTATTATTATTATTGTGGGATTTTCTGCCTTGATATTCTGAGCTATATGGCTGTGTGGAAGGGCCCTGATACACTTTCCCCACGTTTTTATGATAGAACCAATTAGGAAATGGGTTGTTGTAGGTTTTTCCGGGCTATATGGCCATGTTCTGGAGGCATTTTTCTCCTGACGTTTCGCCTGCATCTATGGCAAGCATCCTCAGAGGTAGTGAGGTCTGTTGGAAGTAGGAAAAATGGGTTTATATAGCTGTGGAATGACCAGGGTGAGACAAAGGACCCCTTGATTAGCATTTGATGGCCTGGCAGTGCCTGGGGCAATCTTTTGTTGAGAGGTGATTGGATGTGCCTGATTGTTTCCCCTCTGTTGTTTTGCTGTTGTAATTTTTGAGTTTTTTAATACTGGTAGCCAGATTTTGTTCATTTTCATGGTCTCCTCCGTTCTGTTGAAGTGATTGCAAGCAGAATGGTTTGCAATATCATTTGTGATGTTTCCAGTTTTCCTATAAGATAGTCCAGGTCGAGCTGAATTGAAGGGAGAGGGCATTGGAGAAGGAGGAGGGGGAGGTTGGGAGATCCCCCGCCCCCTGCAACCCTTGGCTCGGGCGGGAGGCGGAGAAGGGGCGGCCCTTGGCCAGGAGCCTGGCAGCCGGGCGGGCCAACCCTTTCTCAGCAGAGATCCCTGGCACAGACACATGGCGGGCGACAGCGAGCAGCGGCTCCAGGGCCAAGGCCAGGGCGAGAGGAGCCAGGGCCAGAGCGGAGAGCCTTTCCTGATCGGAGTCAGCGGCGGTACAGCCAGCGGCAAGGTGAGCGATCACATCCCCAGCGAGATTCCCTGCTGCACTTGCTCAGGGCCCGGCTAGATCGCCCATGCCCTCCACGTGGGCCAGAGCCGGCCTCCCAGCACAGGCCCGCCACGTGCGCAGAGCCCTTCTTCCCCGGCGCGCGCCGCCTCGCGCCCCGCTTCCGCCCCAGCACGCTTTGTCAGAGAGTGACTCTCCTAAGGGTGCATCACGTTTCCCACCTCTCCCTTCCTCCAGTCTATGCTAGTCATCATGCCCAATGATGGGCAATACAGGAGTGGTCACCCAACATCTGGAGGGACTCATACAATGAAATGGCAGGCAGGATGCAGCCCTTTGGCCTTTCATCATAGAATCATGGGGCCCTTCCACACAGCCCTATATCCCAGAATGTCAAGGCAGGAAATCCCACATTCTCTGAGTGTGGACTCACATAACCCAGTTCAAAGCACATATTGTGGGAATTTCTTCCTTGATATTCTGGGATATAGGGCTGTGTGGAAGGGCCCATAGAGTTGGAAGACATCTCATGGGTCATCCAGTCCAAGAAGTAGACAAATCACATTCAGAGCACCCCTGACAGATGACCATCCAGCCTCTGCTCTATTATTATTATTATTATTATTATTATTATTATTATTATTATTATTATTATTATTATTAGCCATCCCCTGCCACACTTTGCTGTGGCCCACTGTGTGTGTGTTTTGTGTGTGTATATGTGTATGTATCTATTTGTGTGTATATATGTATAATTGTGTTTGCCTATATATATGTGGTTTTGCACATGTGTTGTAATGTAATTTTTGTTTTTTGGCTTTTTAAGTATCTTCTGCTGTGTATTTATGAGTGATTGTCACTCGTTGGCCTGATAGGTGTCTTGTGTCGAAATTTGGTATCAATTCGTCCAATGGTTTTTGAGTTGTGTTAATCCCACAAATGAACATTACATTGGGTTGTTGTAGGTTTTTTCGGGCTATATGGCCATGGTCCACTATCTCTGAGGATGCTTGCCATAGATGCAGATCGAAACGTCAGGAGAGAATGCCTCTAGACCATGGGCATATAGTCCAAAAAAATCTACAACAACCCAGTGATTCCGGCCATGAAAGCCTTCAACAATGCATTGAACATTACATTTTTATTTATATAGATTATTATTATTATTATTATTATTATTATGACGACTCTGGCACAAGCCAGTCCAGGTGATCCCAGTGGTGATCGGCACACTGGGTGCAGTGCCTAAAGACCTTGGCCTGCACTTAAACACAATCGGCGCTGACAAGATTACCATCTGCCAGTTGCAGAACGCCACCTTACTGGGATCTGCACGCATTATTTGTCGATACATCACACAGTCCTAGACACTTGGGAAGTGTCCGACGTGTGATCCAATACAAAAGCCAGCAGAGTGTCTGTTGTGGACTCATCTTGTTGTGTTTCAAATAATAATAATAACAACAACTTTATTTTTATACCCCACCAACCATCTCCCTGATGGGACTCGGGGTGGCTTACAAGCGACAAGCCCAAAAATTACAAATAGAACACAACCAACTAAAAAACATCAGATAAAATATAAAAACAATCACAATTGTAACCAACATCAAAACAATATGGCTGAGAAAAAGAACATAGCTGCACCTTGAATTGGGACCGGAAACTTATTGGAAGCCAGTGGAGTTGTTTAAACAGGGGGGTAGACCGCTCCCTGTAACCAGTTCCCGTAAGTAGTCTGACTTCAGATTTTTGGACCAACTGTAGTTTCCAGGCTGTCTTCTAGGGCAACCCAATGTAGAGTGCATTGCAGTAATCCAACCCAGAGGAGACTAGGGCATGGACCACCATGGCTTAAAAGCCTCCAAAGAAGGAGCCTCCACCACACTCCACAGCAGAGAGTTCCACTGCTGAACAGCTCTCATAGGGCCCTTCCATACAGCCCTATATCCCAGAAGGCAGATAATGTGGGATTTTCTGCCTTGATATTCTGGGATATAGGGCTATATGGAAGGGCTCAGAATCAGGAAGATCTTCCTAATGTTCAGGTGGAATCCTTTAAACTGGATTATATGAGTCCACACTGCCAGTTAATCTGGGATAAACAGAAAGCCTGGGATCAGATCCTGGGATACAGGGTGAGTCTGGAAGGACCCTCAGTGCCTCTTTGAGGATTGTGATGCTGTTGGATGTCCTCACATCCCTTTTTTAAAGACCCCCATCCTACATGGGTCTTTAGAGGCATCTATATTTGGGGGCAGATAGCTCCCTCCAGCCAGTCTTTGCTCTGATGGTTTAGAGAAGGGAACACTGGCACACTTTCAATCTTTGGTCCTCCAAGTGTTTGGGACTCCAACTCCCAGGAGCCCTAGCCAGCTTTTCCAATGACCAGGAATTCTGGGAGCTGGAGTCCAAAGCACAGGGAAGACCAAACGTTGGAAATCACCAGTGAGAAGTGAAGGGCCATGTAGGCTTGCTGTCCTGTCCTAGACTCTTTCCTGCAAGTCCAGGTCATATTGGGCTGAGCGGGTTTTACACCCCTGCAATTTGCGTTGTCAAATAAACCTGCATGTACAATGGATTCATATTGGGCCATAAACTTGGACTGGGATCCCTCCCTGCCATAATTTCACCCACATCTATGGCAGGCATCCTCATAGATGAGGATGCCTGCCACAGATGTGGGCAAAACGCCAGGAGAGAATGCTTCTAGAACATGGCTATACAGCCTGGAAAACTCACAGCAACCCAGTGATTCCAGCCATGAAAGCCTTTGACAAAGCATGGGCCATGCTGGCAGAAAAATGGGCATCCAAAGAGTGCCAGTGTTGGGAAGGCTATCCTATCCCCAAGAACTTTATATTTATTAATTATTTTATTTACAGTATTTATATACTGCTTTTCTCACCCCTAGGGGGACTCATGACATTTGCAATATATTTTCCAGGCTTTGTTATTGTTCATTGTATAGTGTGCACAACTTTCTTCTTGTCTCTTTTGATTCCTTGGTGTCAAATATCGAAACAGCTGCTTTTGGCACACTTTTGAGTTACGCACAATGTGCCCTGTGCCATAAAAACTTTCCACTTCTTTGGCATGACCAGCCTAGTCTCTGCCTGCCATTTCTTGTCAAGAGAGAGACGCTCATGATTGTGCAGGTTTTGTTGTGATTGCGTTTTGATATAGGTTTGTTGTCGCATTGTTTCTAGACTTCAGGGTGATTCATGAAATAATTTTGGCACAGAGCGTTTGACCTCAAGGCTGCTGAAGATTTCAGGCGGCCCTTCCAGACAGGCCCTATATCCCAGGATCTGATCCCAGGTTTTCTGTTTATCCCAGATTATCTGGCAGTCTAGACTTATATAATCCAGTTTAAAGCAGAAAATCTAGGATTAGATCATGGGTTACAGGGCCTGTCTGGAAGGACCCAAAGTTACTTATTCTTCTTTTACTGATAGCATTTATGTTCTGGGTTTGACCTGAACCTTTTGAGATTTTTAAAAAAACACTTTCCCAGCAATGTTATGTCTCTGCAATCTGTTGTGTCTAAGGAGAGGGCTCTTCAGCTGGGAGGACCAGCATTTCAAAAGCCAGAACTTTCTTCTAATCTGTGACAGCTGGTAACTGCATGCGGAAAAACAGTCCCTTCAAAAGGAGCGGCTGACTCAGGAATAATTCACTGTTAGCAGAAAAAGAGTCATTTTGCAGCTCATTCCTCAATAATTTCTCCACACTGTGCCCCCGCCCCCAATGCTGCAATGCTTGATTTCCATAATCAGAGGAGCTAGTGTTCTTTGGAAGCCCCTTAACCCACCATCAGAACATGCGGGGCTTGTTTTTGGTTCAGACAACAGAACAGGAGACCTCAAAAGGCACAGAAAGTACCATTTATTTGCTTAATATATTTGAAATGTTACACTTTGTGTTTTAGCTGACTCACATACAAAGGATTCAGTTTTTGATGTAAAAATACTCCTTGATTCAAAAGTTTTACACTCATAACAACACAAGCCTGTCCAACAAATCACATTTTAGAAAAAGAATCAATTTAGTTCTCTAGTAACACATCAACAATGATAAAATTATTAAAAGGATGACAAGTTCGTGTGATGTATTAGTTCAAGTGTTGGACTACAACTCCGGTTATCATGGTTTAAATCCTCATTTGGTCATGGAAACACAGCCATCTGTCGGGAATGATTGGATGGTGTCCCCTGCCTGTTGAATAGAGTTGGGCTGGATGGCCTTTGGGAGTCCCTTTAATCTCCTAGCATGAGGCCCACTTACACATTATGATTGATGTTTTGAGGCTGAGTTAATACCCAGCCATGAGACTCCAGATGATCTCTCCAAGCAGTTTCATGTATATGTCAAATAGTGTGATGTGTAGAACTAAGCTGAAAGGGACCCCACCAGTTAACAGCCAAGAGATCAAACAAGAGCCCCCCAACATCACTTTCTGAATCCATACCTCCAGGATGGAATAAAACGACTGTTAAAAAGTGCTTTCATGCCTCATCACAACATAGTAACCCAGAAGGAAACCCCATGTTCAGTGGCATCCAAAACTGCTGAAAGGTCCAACAGAACTATTCCCCAAACAAAGGAGAACCCGCTGTCTTTGAGCGACTCCCTCAAAATGGCAAGCCCCACATTGGTGTCATCTTTTGCGATGTCCCTACCAGTGGTGAAACTGCCCCTCATTGGAACGAAGCTTTGAAACCAATAGGAAGTATGTGCAGTATTGGGTTAGTATACACTTGATGACAATCTTCAATCCAAATTGTGGTGGGAGAAGTATAGAGAATTATATATGTGTAGTCATTTGGAAGTGAAGGGCTGCTCTGCTCCTAAGAGGACAATATATGTATTGTTCTGCTACCAGCTCTTAGAACAGTGTTTCTCAACCTTCCTAATGTCACAACCCCTTAATACAGTTCCTCATGTTTTGGTGACCTCAAACCATGAAATTATTTTCGTTGCTACTTCAAAACTGTAATTTTGGTGCTGTTATGGCTTGTCATGTAAATATCTGATATGCAGAATGTATTTTCATTCATTGGACCAAATGTGGCACAAATACCTGATACACCCAAATTTGAATACTGGTGAGGTTGGGGGGGGGGGCGGTGTATTGATTTTATCATTTTGGAGTTGTAGTTGCTGGGATTTATAGTTCACCTACGACCAAAGAGCATTCTGAACTCCACCAATGATGGAATTGAACTAAACTTAGTACACAGAACTCCGAAGATCAACAGAAAATGCGAGAAGAGTTTGGTGGGCATTGACCTTGAGTTTTGGAGTTGTAGTTTACCTAAATCCAGAGAGCACTGTGGACTCAAACAATAATGGATCTGGACCAAACTTGGCACAGATACTCAATATTTCCAAATGTGAACACTGGTGGAGTTTAGGGGGAATAGAACTTGACATTTGTGAGTTGTAATTGCTGGGATTTATAGTTTATCTACAATCAAAAAGGAATTCTGAACCCCACAAACAATAGAATTGGGCCAAACTTTCCACACCGAACCCACATGACCAACAGAAAATACTGTGTTTTCTAATGGTCTTTGGCGACCCTTCTGACACCCCTTCGCAACCCCTCCAGGGGTCCCAACCCCCAGGTTGAGAATTGCTGTTTTAGAATGTCCTTGGCCTTGTGTTGAAAAGGGGACTGGTATCTAAACTTGCATTTGGAAATGTTGGACTAGCATCCAGACTAGTATTTGGATGTATGTTCCCTCCCCAGCCCCACAATGCAAACCTGGGCTAGTATTTGAATGTATGTCCTCTAGTACACACCCTGAATTTTGAGTAGGTAGTTTGATGTGTTCCTTGGAAAGTGGGAGATGTGGAAACCCTAGGCAGCTGGAAAGCCACATCTATTCAGAAAGTCATTTAGACCATTCCAGGTCTTTTTTTTTTTTAAATAAAACTTTCTTTTGCTAATGCTAGAATTTCTTCTCATTCTGTTTTTTTTTTTTACCTCTTTTGCAGTCCTCTGTCTGTGCCAAAATTGTTCAGCTGTTGGGCCAGAATGATGTAGACCATCACCACAAGCAAGTTGTGATTCTGAGTCAAGACAGCTTCTATCGGGTACTCACCACTGAGCAGAAAGCCAAAGCCCTCAAGGGGCAATTCAACTTTGACCACCCAGGTGACCTGTCACTGGGGCTGGGAAAGGGGTAGATATACATAGATCCATGCTTCTTCACCCCTAGCTAGGCCTCCCGCAGATCAGTTTGGGAAACTGGAATGCCATAGTGCAGCAACCTGTGTTTTTCAGGATGAAAATGTGTAGAGCAGTCACACTGTGAAAACCAATGAAACTGTTACATTAACTTGAAGGCTGTTCCATTAAAGGTGTCATTATGGGAGATCCAAATATTATCCAACAAAATTGAAATTAACCCAAAATACGTGTGTATTTGTGTGTGACACTAACCACAGAGGAAAAAGCAGAAGTAAAACTAAGACCTACCCAATGAAGGAAATATTCCACAACAACTTAAAGAACAACTAATGTATGGCGTAAGCTTTCATACAGGGTTGTGGTAGTTTTTTTCGGGTTATATGGCCATGTTCTAGAGGCCTTCTCTCCTGACGTTTCACCTGCATCTATGGCAAGCATCCTCAGAGGTAGTGAGGACCTCACTACCTCTGAGGATGCTTGCCATAGATGCAGGTGAAACGTCAGGAGAGAATGCCTCTAGAACATGACCATATATCCCGAAAAAACCTACAACAACCCAGTGATTCTGACCATGAAAGCCTTTGACAGCTTTCATAGATTTTGTTAATCTGAAAGGTGCCACAGGACTCTTTCTTTTGCTCACTATATTTAGAGGCCTACTGCCCTTGACAACTCTTCTTCCAAAGCTTGACGCTATAGAGATGGGCATGGAGCACCTCACCATTCCCAAGCTTTGGAGAATCTTTTTTTTTTAGGGGGGGGAGGTGGTTAGTATTCCCTGTATGAGTCCTGGGATACCTCTTCTATACAATACCAAACCTCCATGTCTTGACTTCCCTGAACTTCCAGAGAGGCATTGGGCTTCTATAGTTAGTAATAGACACTAATAACTCAATCCTATACAAAAAGAGGGCATGAAGGTTTCCCAAACCAATGCTGCCAGTTGGACAGTGGCAAGATGTTAGCAAGCACCCATTTTAGCTTGGATGATCTAGGAAACTAGGGGCTTGTCTGCACTCACCAAAAATCCTGGACTGATGGTGAATCCACTGTTGTCTGTCTCCATGATGTACAAGGATTTCTGGTGAGTACCTTGGGTTATATTCCCTTAATATGATTTAAGCAAAGTCAGAAGATACTCGGAAAACTTTGGACTATCCAGGGTCTCAGCTCTGATCCAGGATGATCCCTGTTTATTAGGACACATCTACCATCATGTTTTCCCTGTGCTGATCAGTGCAGAAGAAGAGGATAGCTCACCTCTGTGTTGCCACTTTGACTCCCTTCTGGTTACAGAACTCTAGTCAGTCACCTGACCATCACCATTGTATCTGCAGAAGTCAGAATGGAGTACCTGCATGACCAGCAAGAAGGAGATGATTGATCTATCCCTTTCTTTGTGGTTGCACAAGCACAATTTATTTATTTTATTTATTTATTTCAAACATTTTTACCCCGCCCTTCTCAGCCCCTGGGTGGACTCAGGGCGGCTTACAATTGGCAACAATTCAATGCCGCTTCATAAAATACAAATATCAAATATTACAATTATAAACATGAACATTAAAATAAAAATTAAACAGTATACTTACGATCCACTTGGCTATTGCCAGTCTGGTGGCTATTTATCTAGCCATATACTAATGATTACTCCGCTTCACTTATCCAATTCCACTGCCAAGCCATAGTCAGTTATTATCCATTGTCCTTTAACCAGATTGCCCGAAGGCCTGGTCCCACAACCACGATTTTACTTTCTTTCTGAATGTGAAGAGGGATGACAATGATCTAATTTCCCCGGGAAGCAAATTCCACAGGCGGGGGGCTACTGCCGAGAAGGCCCTGTCCCTGTCACTAGATGCAACAGATGACAACCAAGCACTTACATGGAGCTCTATGCCCTGGAAGAAGTAATGGCAATACAGAAGATGAGGTGATGGTCCAGTGAAGCCGATGTGATATTAACCTATCAGGATCCCAATGAGGCGCTGGAGTGGGTTCAGCCTGGTTCATGTGGCTGCAATCACAGTCACGCCAGGACCATTCCAGAGCATCATGCTTTGGATTGACCCTGGCTTAAGTGGCCAGTATAGACTCACTTTAGATTAATTCTAAGACAAAAAAGGATGAGTAAATGCTTCTTCCCAAAGTAGAAAGGCATATTGAAAGCCACACCAATTTAACATCGTGTCTCTTCTTTATTTAGATGCATTTGATAATGAGCTGATCGTCAAAACACTCAGGGAGATCATGGAGGGGAAGACTGTTCAGATACCTGTTTATGACTTTGTGTCCCATTCTCGGTAAGCCTCCTTTTCTCCACCTTTTCCTTATAGTTGGGATATGGTGTGATATGTCATAAACAAAGAATGCCAGCAAAGCCCCTTCTATACTGCCATATAAAATCCAGACTATCTGCTTTGGATTATATGGCCGTGTAGACTCATATAATCCAATTCGAAGCAGAAAATGTGGATTATCTGATTTGATAATCTGGATGATATGGCATTGTAGAAGAGGCCTGAGTCCTTCATGGAGAATTTTCACAATAAATATTGCATAGTGGCTTAAGTTTTTAGTACATAAAGTTGTTCTTTGTGGCTGCGGGGCGCAAAAGATTGAATTGCCAAACCTATTTGTTGACTAATTAAAGGTAAAGGTTTCCCCTGACATTAGGTCTAGCCGTGTCTGACTCTGGGGGTGGTGCTCATCTTCATTTCTAAACTGAAGAGCTGGTGTTGTCCGTAGACGCTTCCAAGGTCATGTGGTCGGTATGACTGCATGGCGTGCCATTACCTTCCCATTACTTACCTATTGATCTACTTACATTTGAATGTTTTCGAAATGCTAGGTAGGCAGAAGCTGGGGCTTGTGACAGGAGCTCACCCCATCTGCAAATTCAAACCACCGACCTTCCAGTCAGCAGGTTCTACAGCTTAGTGGTTTAACCCACTGCGCCATTGCGGCTTAAGAAACAAGCTTCAATATCCTTCATGCCGAAAACAGAGAAGAACTCTGTGTTGTGCTAGGAGTGTTGATTAAAATAGCCATTAGGGATGAAGTGTCTCCTTCACATAACACAACTATTCTGATCAAATATGGACCTAGAAGCCACTTTAAGACTACTCTATAATCTTAAACTACTAACTTTTCCACTCTGCCATTGGATCTCCACGGTTCCCCACTCTTTCAGTTGAAAAATGCCTTTTTGCAGCCTGAATCCCAAGTGGAACTAGAGACATACTATGATACACTAATCCAGTGGTTCCCAACCTTTTTTTGACCAGGGACCACTCTCCAACATTATTTATTTATTTATTTAAAACATTTATATTCTGCCCTTCTCACCCCGAAGGTGACTCAGGGCGGAGCACAGCATATACATGGCAAACATTCAATGTCGGGACACAGATTCACATACAATACATAAACATTAAGAAAACATTTATCGAAATATTAAAATACACCATTTAAAACCGTCCTAGTCATCCGCGTCAAATCATTGGCCTGGTCATCTTTCCTATTGCTGCTTTATTGCTCTGACCCGAAATCTTGGTCCCACAGCCAAGTTTTTACCATCCTTCTAAAGGACAGGAGGGAGGGGGCCGACCTGATCTCACCAGGAAGGGAGTTCCATAGCTGGGGAGCAATCACCGAGAAGGCCCTGTCTCTCGTCCCCACCAATCGTGCCTGTGACAATGGGAGGACAGAAAGCAGGGCCTCCCCAGAGGATCTTAATCTCCATGATGGTTCATAGGGGGAGATCGGTCGGACAGGTAATTTGGGCTGGGGCCATTTAGGGCTTTATAGGCCAAAGCCAGCACTTTGAATTATGCCCGGTACCAAACTGGCAGCCAGTGGAGCTGGCGTAACATGGGAGTTGTATGCTCCCTGTATGCCGCCCCAGTTATTAACCTGGCTGCCTCTCATTGGACTATTTGAAGCTCCTGAGCAGTCTTCAAAGGCAACCCTACGTAGAGTGTGTTACAGTAGTGTATCCTAGATGTAACGAGAGCATGGACCACTGCGGCCATAGTACCAAAAAGCTTACGAATCAGTTTTTGGTCAATTTTAGATTTGGTTTGGTTATTTGGAGTGCTGATTCGGAAAATTGCATTGGATGGACCACATCAGCTCTAGTTTCTGATACAGAACAAAGCCATCCAGTAGCCACCATCTGCTCACCCACAGAAAACCATATTTAATAAGCCTCGGCACTATATGAGGGTTTTGCAAAACCAATCGCTCTCGTTGCAATGGTGTAGTAAGGGTGAAGCTGCGGACTGTATTTATTTCTTGCAGACCACTGGTCACCCATGGACCACAGGTTGGGAACCACACTGCTAATCAGATTAAAGTTAAAATGAACTCCTCCAGACTCATCTAACTTTTTTCACCTATCTATGAACACATTCCAGTTTGTGTACCCTGAAAAAGGATTCACAGAACAGCGGAGGCTGCCATATGCTTACCCTTCTTGGCTAATTGGATCAGCTTATTTGTTCTTTTTGCACAACATAGTGCCCAAGCGTTGCCTAAGTAGCTTGTGGCTTTATCTCCAGTTTTTCTTTGCAACTAAAAGCACCTGAGAATCTTTTGCTTAAGCCCTGCTGCCATTAATGCAGACAGATAAGCATAGGTTCTCTTCTGTTGCCCTTTTGACACCACATTTTGCGTTTTAGTCCTTCATTCCCACTCCTGATGCAAAATACTTAAATATAACATTTTAACACATCACACCCAAACCTATTGTCCCTCCGGGGAGTTAGGGCGAGGTGCAAATAAATTATTATTATTATTATTATTATTATTATTATTATTATTATTATTATTATGACACAAAAGCACAATATGTCAGAGCAAATGAGATCTATATGCTGGATTTCGTATCACAAAATCACAAGTCGGACACTTCCCACCCAGTCGGACACATCACACCCAAACCTATTGTCCTCCGGGGAGTTAGGGTGGGGTGCAAATAAATTATTATTATTATTATTATTAATATTATTATTATTATTATTAATAATAATAATAATAATAATAATAATAATATTCTGACACAAAAGCACAGTATGTCAGAGCAAATGAGATCTATATGCTGGATTTCGTATCACAAAATCGCAAGTCGGACACTTCCCACCTAGTCGGACACATCACACCCAAACCTATTGTCCCTCCGGGGAGTTAAGGTGAGGTGCAAATTATTATTATTATTATTATTATTATTATTATTATTATTATTATTTTACTGACACAAAAGCACAGTATGTCACAACAAATGAGATCTATATGCTGGATTTCATATCACAAAATCACAAGTCAAACACTTCCTAAGCGTCTAGGACTATGTGATGTATTTTCAAATGATGCATGCAGATCCAAGTAAGGTGGCCTTTTGCAGTTGACAAATTGTGATTTTGTCAATGTTTATTGTTTCCAAATGCCGGCTGAGATCTTTTGGCACGGCACCCAATGTGCCCATTACCACTGGGACCACCTGTACTGGTTTATGCCAGAGCCTTTGCAGTTCGATTTTGAGGTCTTGATAGTGGCTGAGTTTTTCCTGTTGTTTTTCCTCAATGCAGCTGTCACCTGCTATGGCAACATCAATAATCCAGACTTTTTTCTTTTCCACAATCGTGATGTCTGCCGTGTTGTGTTCCAAAACTTTGTCAGTCTGGATTCGAAAGTCTCACAGTATTTTTGCATGTTCATTTTCCACTACCTTTGCAGATTTATGATCACACCAATTCTTTACTGCTGGTAGGTGGTACTTGTGACATAAGTTCCAGTGAATTATTTGGGCCACAGAGTTTTGCCTTTGTTTGTAGTCCATCTGTACGATTTTCTTGCAACAGCTGAGGATATGATCAATGGTTTCATCAGCTTCCTTGTACAGTCTACATTGTTGTTGTTGTTGTCTTCCCCAGTTTTCGATTGTAAAACCCTTTTAAAACTCCAAATAGAGTGCAATGTAAATTCATGGTGAAATATAAATAAATTAAAGAGGGAAACATGCAGTGTAAACGGATGTGATATTTTAGAGCACTTTGATTCTGTGCTCACTCCCCCGCCTAATGGTGGAAGAAAAAAGCTGAAGCCTGCAGATCTTCTGAGGGATTAAAAAACGCTGAATGCAGCCTAGTTTGTGCGAGGCGATAAGGGCTAAGTTAGATGTACGCTTGTTTAATGTCATACTGTTCCAAGAGACCCCTATAAGGAATTGGAGAGTGACTCAGATCAGTATCACAAATACTTCTGTTGATCATTAAAACATCCCAAAACCCAATGTACACATGCTGGAAAAACCTTTATTAGGCAAAAAAGGGGGGCACAACATTAATCCTTTTAGCATTTGAAGCACAGTGACATCTTCAGGGAAGAGAAAAAATAATAATTCAGAGTAAGAAAACTGTTGACTTTAAGATTCACAGACCTGCATCTTGCTTGATTGTGGCAATATATAGACAGATGACATATGCTGGCAGAAAGATCAGTACATCCCCATGGCCATGGAATGACTAATAATAATAATAATAATAATAATAATAATAATAATAATAAAACAACTTTATACCCCACTCCATCACCCCCATGGACTTAGTGCGGCTTACATGAGGGCACGCCCAACAGTACAGTAAACACAATATAATACAAAAACATAACAAAACCAGAAAATAAAATACATAAAATGCAAAACCAATATAATAAGCGAACAGCAAAAGCAAATCAAACATTAAAATACAGAGGATTAGGCTGGGCAGGGCCGAATTCAATGATAAAAAATTTAAAACACTGGGAGATAGGACAATATAAATTATTGGAAGGGGGATCCGAGGATAAGGAAGGATATAATTGCACGAACCATAAAATAAAGTGCTTCTGAGGTCATTTTATGCAAAGTTTGGTCAGGGAGTATCTTACATTCAATCACTGAAGGCATATTGGAATAACCAGGTTTTCAGGTTCCTCCTGAGCATTACCAGTGTGGGGGCTTGCCTAATGTCTCTGGGGAGTAAATTTCAGAGCCGGGGAGCCACCACAGAGAAGACCCTCGCTCTCGTCCCCACAAGTCACACTTGCGATGCGGGCGGGAGCAAGAGAAGAGCCTCTCCGGAAGATCGAAGGGGTTGTGTGGGTTCGTAGACGGAACAGAAGCAGTAAAATAGAGACATTTTTACTGTATTCAGAAGATAAAGTACAGTGGAGATTGGTAAAAGGGAATGAAAGTAGATATACATATTATTCATCGGTACATAAGGTATATACAAGAATTGATTATATTTTTGTCTCCAAAAAT